TGCTAATGTGGTTGCTGATAGGCACCACCCTAATTTTGATGTCGAGGCTGAGAGGGAGGACGTTGTTGATACCCTGCAACTAGTGCATGGAATCTGCATGGCCTAGGATTCGTGGAAGCATCCCACAAGAAGTTAGAATACTGTCGCCACCCTGGATTATAGATGTTGTTGTATGGGTTGTTGCATCGCCAACTTCTAGAAATGAAGTGCAACTGTTCCTGCTGGGTGGTGCTCTCTATCATGATCAGGCAATCCTGCTGATGACACATGAAAGTGTTTATTCTAAACCCCCATATTGTGACCAAAAGTGCTTACCCATCATTATCATGATAATGCAGTGGATTATTGTTGTAATTGCTTCAAGTGCGTTTTAGCAACCATAGGATTGTTTTTATACCATTGATGGGCTTTTGGGTAGCGTTTTATGCATTTTCAGGGCCGAGCAGTCTAGTGGGCCACTTGGAATTTGTAGGGGGGCATCGAGCCCAAGTTGCTGAAGCAAGGATTTGAAGACCGGACGATAAAGAAAATACGCGCAAATGGTGTCGTTTTATTAAAGAAAAAAGGGGACCAGGCGCCATTTTGGGAGAGACATCTACTTAGTTAGGAAGTTGTCTAGGAAAATAATGATTTGCTGGCCACGAGTTCGGAGGATTCTGATTGACCGAATGATGCAAGAGGGGTGATTTTCCCCTTAGAAAGCCTAATCTAAGATCTATAAATAGGACTCTAGATCTAGAGTTCAATCTCCTCAAGCGAAACAAAAGCTAAAAAAAGAGCAAACCATAGAAGAGATGGAGCTTAGTCTCATGCTTATCGAGACCCGCCTGATTGAGATGAAAGTCGAATTCATAAAATCTGGCAGCACCATAGACCTCGTATTTAAAGAGAAACTCCTCAAAATCAGGCAAAAAGGACCAAGGATCAAAACTGCCTCGTAAGGGAGGAAGTTAATGCGACAAGTTGGAAGGAAATAAGCGACGATCTCGCACCAATCCGTGATCGACCTCCAGCAAGTGCCGAAAGGCAATCCCTCTTAGATAAGGATTGGGCACATTATCGAAAACCAAAAAACTTCAAGGACAAACCCAGGGGTGGGTTGTGTTCTTGTTTAACCTCCTTTCCCTACTCGCATTATACTTTTAGACCTTGTTCTGGGTAATCACCTCCGGAAAAGTGTGCAAGACAAATTTCTGTCCAGGTCTAACCAAGGAAAAATACTCACTAATTGAAATACTCACTAATTGAAATATTAGTTCCCAAACAATCTCTTCATCTCAAAAGGTTTGGGGTATTTCATTTCCTTAATTCCTTAACCCTTCTGAAAAATGGTTCTCACCCCTAGAAAAAGGCTCTTACAGACTTATGTCTCTTTAATTATTTACGTATGCATAACATCATGAAGCATCAATAAACATTGTTTTAAGGCAAGCAAATACAAGTTCAATTCTAAACTAGTCAAGTGCAAGTTAATGAATTCTAAGTTCAAATCTACCCATTGTGAGGGAGATTACCTTTATAAGCTCAAACTTATCAAGTAAGCCAGTACATATGAACTTAAGGATATCTCTCCATAGTGTGAGAGATCAATCTAAACGAGCAATTATGAGTTATCAAGTTAAGCAAGAAATTCAGATCTTGATCGTAGTGAAGAATTTTTGTGTTTACTGAATCCTCACATAGAGATCCACATAAAAAATTGATCTCATTCTCCGGGTTCTTCTCTGAATACTCCTCGAAATCATCACTTCTTTTGATGGGTTTCTCCACTCGATGCATGGTCTTTCATATATGCAGTGTTACTTCTCCCTCCACAGTGTGTTACTTCTCCCTCCACAGTATCGATTCTTACTCTAGCAGTGGCAAGAAATGACCTCCCAAGGAGGATTGAATACTCGTTGCTCGTCTTCATGTCAATCACGAGATAGTCAGGGAAGAATATGAATGGGCCGACTTGGGTGCTTAGGCCTCTAACAACTCCAAAGAGCTCTGCAAGGGGTGTTGTTGGCTAGTATTATTTCAAAGTTGACGTTCTTTAGGTCGTCTCGTTCCATATCTTGATATAGTTGTAGTGGTAGTACGTTGACGCTTGAGCCAAGGTCAACTATGCATTTGTTGTGTGATGGTCATCCATAAGACACCTTATTATGCAATGCCCTGGATTCTATTTTGTTTCATTAACTAGGATGAATTCTTCATAACCCCAAAAGGTTTTCTTTACAGTGGTCTCCTTTTCTTCAATCCTATCATCTTCTTCAATGAGAATCTCGAGCTTCCCCTTTAGGTTCTCCATTAAAATAAGTTTCTCCAATAGTGGTACTACCACTTCTGCTCCTCCAAAAGCTTCTATCAGATTTCTAAAGAGAGATGGATACTCAACCCCTTTCTTCTATTCACCCTCGTTGATGCTTGGGACACTTTTGGTTGCTCCCATCCTTGTCGAGATAACTTTGACTTCCTCTTTCTTTAGATTGTTCTGGTTTTGCTCAAAATATTTCCTTAAGGATTTTGAGGTTGAACATCAATTAGGAGTGCAAGTTATCTTTCGATGTTCTTGTAGCTTGCTTGCAAACCTATCACTGTTACCTCAAGCTTCTCGAATTTGGTGGGTTGCTGATTGAAAACACATTCTCCTTGCGCCTATTAAGGTTGGTTACCAAATCTGGATGGACTTGGTTTCTTCTGGCATTATGCTTCATGAATATAAGGTGCATTGGTATGGGTGATGTTAGGATAGCCCTCGGCTTCTTTCCTCCTGAGGCGGCCATTAACCATAAGGTATGTGAGGTTGGTTGAATATCTAATACAGAGGATAGCTTTCTTTTAAAGGTCTTGATTATTAGCTTTGGTTAGTATGGATGCCAATGGTCCATACTTGAAGCTTTGGTTATTAATGATTTCTTGAGTTGTTGTGAGCCTATGATAGTAATCTAACCATTGATTTCCCTTCTCATGAGTGAGAAAGCAAAAAGTCGTAGCCAGATTCCATCTTTGGCAGCTTCATGTCATCTCCTGGAATGGAATTGATTATCTCAATCTTTAGATGTTGCACAGGATCATCATCATTCATTCCTGCAAATCTCTCTGCTTGTTGCACTATTTGAATCACTTGAGTGCATATCTCGATGGTAGTAGTGGTGCATCAATGCTTGATGTGATATTCTATGCTCTTGGTCTTGAATACTTATAGAGAGTGGGCAGGATCACCACTTGTCTATCATTGTGTACCACAAGATACCACCTCCATACGAGAGTGGTATGAGGTGATATTTTTGGTCTTGTATTTTTCCCCCCAGAAATTTGTAGATCCAAAATATCATGATGAACTCGTTCCTTCTGTGCAAAATTTTCAAAATCGACTTAAAAACGAAGGAGATAGCATATGGTATGTAGATGGTAACAAGTGGTACGAGTGCCATAAAAACATTTCTCGAAATATATTGAAAATTTATATAATTTTATAGAAAACAAAAAACTCGTTTACTCGATATTTTTTTAAAATTAAAATTAAAACAAAAAAGATAAGAACCAATTAAAAAAATGCTTTAACTCTTATATTTGGGCCCTAATGCCCAAAGTTCAGGAAAAAATCCAAAATTACCATTGTTTTAAATAAAAATTACAAAAGTACCACCCATTCCGAAAAAATTCCAAATCTACCACCATCCCCCATAAACCGCACCTCGAAGGCGCGATTCTCATTCAAACCGCGCGGGCAAGGGGCGGTTTACCATTGGGCAGCTGCAAAACCGCACCTCCACGTGGCGGTCCATGCAACCGCGCGATGGCCAAGAGATCTAACGGCTAACCGCCTCCCAGCGGAGCGATCCGCGTCGTGGATTTATAACCGTTGCCCAAGGGCGCGGTTTGCGCGTTGGGAAACGTAAACCATGTGCTGGAGGCGCGGTTTTTGGTGGGGTAAAAATATCAAACCGCTCCTCCAGCACGCTGTTCTTGGCCTATAAATACTCACCCATGTCCTCTCATTTTCTTCACACCAAACTCAATCTCCTCTCTCTCTAAATTTCTCACTCTACTCATCCCCCTCCCCACCCAAAAACCTTGGAAGTAGTTGTTTTGTTGGTTGCGGCTAAGTCCAATCTGCCTTCAAAAAAAAAAATTTGGTTTCCACTAAAAAACCGTCGAATCTCTGTCCGGATCCTAAAAAAATTGTCGATTTTATCCAAGAAGAGGGTATTTACTATGATGATTATCAAGCGGTACGTACTCATTTTACCCAATTTTTGTTATTGGTATAATGGTTTTATTTAATTTATATACTAATTGATTTATGTTGTTGTTATGCTATCGTAGGTTGGGTCGGATGTTGATATATACAATCAACGATAATATGTTGATCAAGGACCGATTGATCCGACTGTTTTATACGATCAATCCAATCATCGTTCAAGACATGTTTGGAACGACCACAAGGTACATATTATTTATCATCACTTGTAATTTTTATTTGGTTAAGGTAATTTATTTGTTTGTACAATAAATTACTTAATTGTTAATCATATTGATTATTTTCAATAATTTAAATCAATACAATACAACACTTATTTAGACTCTTTATAAAGAAATGCATGTCTAAGAAAATGGGGTCTTAAGCGATCATCATGATCCTCCCATGACCTGGGAAAATTGGGTTCTAAGCGATCCTCGGATCCCCCTTTTTCTGTCAAACAGACTGTGTTTCTAAGGAGATGTATACCTCTCCTAAGAGTTTTACGAGTGTAATTGTATTGCTTTAAATTATTGAAAACAATCAATACGAAGTACAAAATAATATATTTGATTTTATGTGTATGTGTAATTTTACTTAAATTTCGAAAATGGTATTCATTTTAGTTAATTATTTTAGTTAGCTTAATATTAATGTTTATTGAATTATGTATATTTCTCGGAAACAACCTTGATTTCATTAATTTATATTGTTTGTTATAATAGATTTATATATGTATAAATCATAAACTTATAGTGAAAGTTAAATTCTTCTCTAGGATGCATACCATATAGTCCGCTATAGGGGGTACGACGAATGTGCTTGAATGGAACGACGTCATCTTGACCTTTCTAAAAAGGGCAAGATTGGATCCGATTAAGCACTTTAATGGAATAAAGATCGAGCGCCAACTCATCACAGCATTGGTAGAGAGATGGCGAAAGAAGACACATTGCTTCAATTTTCGTGAAGGGGAGTGCACCATCACACTTAAGGACATCACCATCCTAACTGATTTGCCATCGATGGCGATGTTATTTGTGTGCACTCTACTCCACCAGCTAAAGTTGTTGCAAATATGAGTGGTTGGCAGCATTTCATATGGACCATCACTGGGTTGTGTCCGCCAGAAAAGGGAGATCATGATGCGGATGGTAATCCACCATTGTCCAAGGTCCAAGTATCCATCACTTGGTTGACAGCGGAGATCAAGCGTAAGCACAACCCTGAGGTCGGAGGCATTCCCCTCACGGAGGAAATTTTGGAGCGTGATAAAGAAATTTATGCAAGTATCTACATCCTCGGCATGATCGGAGGAGTTTTCTTCCCCAAAAAATCCAACAATTTAATCAGCAATTCTTGGTTGAAGATCATATTTGGCGATTGGGATGATATGGGAAACCTGAGCTGGGCATCTGCTTGCCTAGCTCATCTCTACCGCTCCCTCTATAATGCTAGTTCGAGAGCGGTGAAGGAGATTGATGGGGCCATGGTCATCGTCCAATTTTGGGCTTGGGAGCATTTGCCATGGGTTGCACCGAAGGAAGACCCCGACAAGGAATGAGGACCCGACCATCCCCTACGACATGAACGTTTGATGGAGGAATGAGGAATTCCTCATTCCACAATGACCCGCCATGTCTGTTTGGATATCGATACACCATACGATCAACTCTTCTAGTGTCATCCATGCAGGTAACCTCATTGCACATTTGATGGAGCTCTTCAAGCATCGGTCTCGTACGGACCTTCATTTTATTAAAATTGCCACCCACGTAACTTACACCCTTTCCGGACTCTTCCGTGTAACCATTCCACCGTAACCCAAGCGTGGACTTTTGGAATGCCATCTGCAATAAAACTGTAATTAAGTTACTACCATAAAAATCACAAATGACAATGAAAAGTAACACAAAACAAACTTACAAATTAACGTTAATCGCGATAATTTGAAGAAGTAGAAGAAGGAGTGGAGTGAAGATTTTGAGTTTTCTGGACCTGCCTTTTATAGGCAAATTTTACACTGGAAACCGCAGGGGGAAGCGGTTTAGTCTGGCATGCAGCCCCCACCCCTAAAACCTCTTGCATGGCGACATGTCGGATGTCGGGTGATGAGGCACAAACAGTAGGGGGTTTATGTGTCGACATGGTAAATTGCTTCCCTGTGGAGCGTTTTATCTCGCCGACACATAACCGCTCCCAGAGAACGCGGTTTGTGCTAGGGTAGCCATGAAAACCGCTCTTTCGAAGAGCGTTTTTCCAAAAAAAAGACAAACCGTGTGTCTAGCAAGCGGTTCCATGGTAAACCTCCGCATGCATGGGCGGTTTCTGAGTTAACCACCGCTGCGTGGAGCAGTCTTTAATAAACAGTAGTAGATTTGGATTTCTTCAAAATGGATGGTACTTTTGTAAAAAAAAAATTAAACAGTGATAGTTTTGATTTTTTTCCAAAATTTCACTATACAAGGCCTTTTCCCCAATATTTTGTATTTTGTATTTTGTATTCTGTATTTTATATGTTCCCTCAACTATCCCTACTTCAATCTCCGCCGTCGAAATTGGTAACCCAGATCAAAATCACGGCTAAGCAAACCGGACACGTAATGTGAGAAGGTGCACGTTAGCAATTCCTTGGGCGTGAGATAGCAAGGCACATAAAGCCAAATACGCATCCTCTCTCCTACTTCTCCCCACTTACATCAAGAGAGAGAAACAGCAACAACACAACAAACCAAAACTACAAAAAAAAAAAAAAAAAAAAAAAGTCTTTCCCTCCTTCCTCCTCCCCTCTCCGCCCCCCGCCGTCCCTCAATCCGTACCTCCGTGTCAAATTAATATTCTTTCCCTTGTGTGACTTTTAGCCCCTCCGCTTGCTTATCCAGCCACCACCATTCGAGCCCCACTCCGCCGCCCCCGTACTCCGCATCTAAGAGATCGATAGCCCGTTGTCTCTTTCCCTTCACCGCTGAATTCGAGGTCGGATGTCTTCTCAATCTCAAGTTCAGATTTTTATGCGTGCCCATATGTCGTTTGAGTGTCTTATTGTCGATTCCGAATTGGGTCTCGGCTGTTTAAATTTATCCAATTGGACAATTCATGATTGAGAGATGGGTGTTGTTCGAGTTCATAATCTTGTGACCATGGTGGGTGGCTGGAGCTGAACCCCTGATTTGATCGGATTAGCTTGAAAAAATTGCAACTTTGCTCTATCTACATGTTGTATTGTTAGAGTCTCCAAAGCAATCAGGATATTGTTGTCAATTGTTTGGTCGAGTTTTTTTTAACTTTACCTTTGTACTAAGCAGATTCTGCTGCTACCTCTTGCAGTGACTTGGGCGTGGAACCCTTGTGGTTATGTCTTCATCGTTCCCAGTTCTTCATACTACCATCGAAGACAAGTACCCCAAATCGCCAAACACTTTCCAGATGCCTTCCGAGAGGGAGCTTATGAGAAACTCTTTCCCTCAGCAGGCTATTCCAATTGGTCCCAGTAGTGGGACAGTGGAGCAGCTGTTCTCCTCGCCTTCTTCCAGATTTGCTACCAGCGAAATGCATGTCCCTTCAGTTTCTTCGCCCCAGGGAAAGCATTCCCTGAATTCACCATTCATTTCCCAATCAGCAAGCGGCAGAGAGAGCTTGCCATCGTTGCTGTCTTCCCATACTGAAGTACAATCCTCCACTTTGGGCAGTACCCACTCTGGAGAGAGTAATAATAATAATAATAATAAGACGAATCCTTGGTTGTCCATGGATTCAATTCCTGACTTTCTCGATTTCCCCGAGAATGTGTCTATCCAAAATGCTTGTCAGGAGGAGACTGCATGTGTTGTTGGGTCTGAAGATCCTACGAAGAGAACAACAGATTGGCAGTGGGCGGATCAGTGGATATCGGTTGATGATAATCTCAATTCGGACTGGAATGAAATTCTTACTGGAGTTGCTTCTACTGAGAACAAAGAAAAGGTTTTTACTCTCATCCTGATCTAAGTTTGTTTTCGTAAACTTAAAGAAAATGTTACTTTTCACTCAGACCATGCATGACATGGTCAACTGTGAAGCAAAGCTCATTTTGGGTTTACATGCATTTTTACTGTGGAAGTGAACAAAAAGTGAAGTTGACTTGTTTGATCATTGGAAGAACTTCTATCTTTATTTGGGGACTGGTTGGTTACACAAACATAAACGAGGACTTTCTCTCTTAAAGCTAAATTATTGTATCAGGCGCCACCACAATCTTCTAGTAACTCGGTGCCAACTATCTCAGTTGAACAACCTCAAGTGAATCAGCAGCAAGCTGTGGTTAGTGGAGAAGTAATCTCTGTTGGCACCCCACTTTCCTCTGCACCAACAGCAACCAAAACCAGAATGAGATGGACACCAGAGCTTCATGAGGCTTTTGTGGAAGCAGTCAATCAGCTTGGTGGCAGCGAAAGTGTGTATTCGTTCCTGAGAGGACAATTTATATTTTATAACGATAGAACCTGAGTAACTTGGTCGTGTTGGCTTGTGCTGTTTAACTTTCAGGAGCTACTCCAAAGGGCGTCTTGAAGTTAATGAATGTTGAAGGGTTGACGATTTATCATGTCAAAAGCCACTTGCAGGTTTCATAGCTTGCTCAACATAATCAGTTAGTATCTTTTGGAGCACTGGAAATTGTTCTTTTTTGGTCACTGACGTGAATTTTTGAAAACTTCAGAAGTATAGGACAGCGAGGTACAAACCAGAGCCAAGTACTGAAGGTAATTCTTAATATCTCACTTATCATAGTTTGCATGTATCAGCTATTGTCCCGCACCCAGAGATTTGTATGTTTAATCTTCATTTGATCCTTATCTTCTACTGTGTTCTGAACAGAACATTGTTGAACTGTTCAATTTAAATAAATGTCGAAATTTGTTATTCCCTTTTTCCTTTCAGACGACTCAGAGAAAAAGTTGAGTTCCATTGACGAAATGAAATCTCTGGACTTGAAAACGTAAGTTTATTGAATCCCTGCACCATCTAAGTATTCTTGTGGCGCTCCTTCACTTGAGTAAATTAACCTTGATTGTTTTTAAAAACAGGAGCATAGGGATAACTGAAGCTTTGAGACTACAGATGGAAGTTCAGAAGCGATTACATGAACAACTCGAGGTAATTCTTTCACTGTGCTTATAGCTTGTATGTCGACATCAGGACCATATTGACCACTGGAAAAAAAAAATAGTCTAAACATAATGTTGGTTCCTTTCTGCCTGTACTGATGGTTTTTTTTTAACTCCACCAGATTCAGCGAAACTTACAGCTGAGAATCGAAGAACAGGGGAGGTATCTGCAGATGATGTTTGAGAAACAAAAGATGGGAGAGGACAAAGCCAAGCTTCCTACCAATTCTACCCCAGCCAATGATCCAACGTCAACTGCAGTTCAGCATTCTCCAGACGGTAAATTAGAAGCCCCCGATGGTGATGGAGCAGAAATTCCAGAAAAAGAGACGAGCAAGAAAAGTCTGCATGATGACCAAACTGGTGACCGTGAGTCCAGTCCAGTGCAGGGAAAACGAAAAAGGACAGACCAAACATCATCGTCAGCATCAGTATAGTCTCCAGTCCCAACCCTGTGATCAGGTTTATTTGGACATATGTATTAGGGAGGGGAGATGCAAATTCGGGAAGTTTTGTGTACTCTAGATTCTTGCTTCTTCAGCGTTTGCTGTAGAAGTGAATGTTTTAGCAGGTACTAGTTCTACCACCGTGATAATGGCAAAGCGAATTTCCTGACTTTATGATTCTTCTGCCATCTCTAATCTAGGATGGTCTGTGACTGATGGTGATGTATAAATTGTATAAACGTAGGACTGCTGCTTCGTTAGTTTGATATGGCATTCTTGTACAGATTTTCTTATTCTGAAACACTTGGTCCGAAGATGTCGACTAATTATGTCCAATCGGTGGGATCACCCTTCTGACTATCCGATGCTTGCTGGTGTAACTACTAACTCAGTTCAGTTCTCAAAGAGAAGAGAAATGGAGGCGGGCAATCTTTCTTTATGAGAAAATGACTGGTTGCGTATATGGTGTGTATGGATCCAACAACCAAGCAACGGACTGGAGCTACCCACATTTTATTTGAAAAAAATACACGCAAAATTTTATTTTTTACGGTAAACGAAGAGGAAAACACTTTATGAATGAAAAATAGTGATAATAGAATGGTTAATTGATTCTTACTAATTGAAAGATCCAATCTAACTAATTGAAGAAATGCCAAAGTAGAAGAAATATGAATACATATTGTAAGAAATTGAGATAATCGAATCTAACTAGGTGAGAGATCGAGTCTAACAAGTTGAAGAAAAGTCAAAGAAGGAGAAATATGAATAGACATTGTGAGAAATTGAAATAAAATGTGCCAAGAACCGGGCGGGACATGACGGGTCGGATCGGAAGTAGATACTCATACCCCGCCTCACTCTACTACGAGTCGGGTAATAGTATAGTTAGTAAATACTCCGTTTAATACACATATATGTACTCGTACGTACTTTATCCGTTTAAAACTTGCATATCCGTATTATTGTCAAGCCGTTTCATTTTTCCCCGTTCATTTGATGGCTACGGTACTAAACACGTATAAAACCCGTATAACACGTTTATTATCCGTATTTTACGAATTAAATTGTTAACTTTACTATTATTGTTATATTTATTTTTAAAATGACTAATTCTATATATATGTGACTATTAACGTACTATTAAACGTAACTTTAGTTTAGAGACAAAGTATAATACCCGTACGTATTTTTACGTAACTTTCTCGTACCGTATTTAACTAACTATACCCGCACCATCGTCGACCAGGCCAGATAATATTCACGTGTCGGGTTCAAATTGTCAATCACTTGATACCGCATCCTTAAATTTTCCGGTACAATCCTCTAACTTATTATTCCATAATTGCTGAAATAAAAAAAAATACAAATATTTTAAACAAAATAGGACGACGAGAAATAAACCTTTTTGGCTTTTTTTCCAGAGAAAAAATGAAAAAGAGCCACAACGCACAGAAATAGAGTCGTCCTTTCCTTCTTCCTCCCCCGCCGTATCTCAATCCATCTCTCCGTCCCAATTAATTTCTTCCCCTCCGTGCGGCCTTTAAAAGAAAACCCTCCGCCGCCTCACTCTGCATCCAATTCAACAGATCGGAAAAAAAAATATTTTTTCCGTCTCTTTCCGCACTGAGTTTCAGGTGATTTCTCTGCTCAATCAATCGAGAGTCTAGATTTTTTTTCCCCCTTCGATTGTATAGTTTTCACCTCCAGTTGAATCCTTCTTTGTTATTCTTGTAATGTTTTTATTTGAGTGTAAAACAAACACAGGATGATCACAGAGATAACTGAAGCTTCAAGACTACAAATAGAAGTTCAGAAGCAATTACAACAACAGCTCGAGGTAATTAGTGGAAAAAGACATCAATGGTCTCGATTCTGTTTTCTGTGCCTGTGATCATCTTCTCTTATTTTGTTGAAACGCTTGACAGATTCAACGAAAGATACAATTAAGAATCGAAGAACAGGGAAGGAATCTGTTGATGATGTTAGAGAAGCAAATGATGGAAGACGAGAAAGATGGCTTTTTTCCTCATTGGTTTAAAAATGAAGGTTTTGAGTTTTGAATTTTTTTTAGATTTATGATGGATTTATTGCATTTTGTATTCGAAAGATAACATTGTTTGTTTAGTTGAATTTTTTTCAAAGATTTAGTTTATTTGGGGTTGTTTGGAGGTTGAGATTCTCCAAATTGAAGTATTGAAGTATTAAATCAATTTGTGTATTATAATTTGATGTATTGATGAAATGTATGAATTTGAAAATATATTGTTTGGAGGTTTACATTGTGCTTTGTTATAAATGAAAAAATAGAGGGTAGACAATATCTTGGTCACAATCTCAAATTTTGTTAGAGATTGATAATCACTCATTTTGAGTGATTGTTGGTGGGTAGAGAAAAAAGTAATGTATTCTGTCACAAATTTAACAACAAAAAAAAACGATTTAATCTTGACATCTCATACTTTGGCTAAGAGAAAACCAATACCTAAAAGAAAAATTGAAGAATATACTAATAATTAATTTAAAATATTTGATAATTACATTCTTAAACCTCCACAACATTATCAATCTAACTAACACGAATTTTTATTTTTATATGTTTTATGGAAAACCTCAAATCCAAAGTTATAATTGAAAGTATTTGATTTGTCTAGTTTTTTTTTTTTACAAACGATTTGTCTAGTGAAGTAATGAAGAATTATACCAAAAGTAAGATAGCCTAACGGTAAAGCGACGCGACAGTGAAGGTTTGGGAGTTGCAGATCCCAGATTCGAATCCAAGTGAGGTCCGTTGGTGTTCACGAAGGTATAAAAACTGCTGGGGGCGAAGCCTAGTTGGTATCGAATTGATTGCAGGTGACCCCGGATTTATTAGGCCATGCTGTTACAAAGTGGCACTGCTGGCTGAGGTTCTGGGTAATAGAAAAAATGAAGAATTATTCAATTAGCAAAGTCACATAATTTTGTCTCAAACACTCAATCTTATAATAAAAGAAAATTAAAAAAATAAACCATATATAAACAGGCACAACCTTATAACAAAAGAATTAGTCAATAATATAATAACTGATTTTAAAAGAGGATTTCTAACTTCAAACTCGTACGATAACATATTTCTCACAAAAAAAGGGGTTTCCAACGAGACCTTTTTTCACTATAATTAAGTATTTTGTTTGGGTATCTGTTAATTAAACGGACAAGAATATCCTTCTTAATTTTTTTTTTATTTCGTGGAATTATCCTTCTTCAATTCACTTAGAAGATTGAACATTTAGAATTAAACAATTTTAAAAGAGGATCTCTTTAGATTATTGTGTGTGGTACTGTGGTTCTTTGATGTGCACCGCCGAAAGAAAGAAATAAAAATGTCTTTTTGTCTTTCAGATGTACCAAAAAGGCCAAAATAGAACTAAATGATCACAATTCACAAGTGGAGTTGGAGGAGGGACTCAGGATGTCAATCCAATCCGTAATCATGGGTACCCTATCCGATCGTAACCGGTCAACGAGGGTAATTACCCGTTTTGACGGGTTAAGGGGCGGGTACGAGTAATACCCGGTTTCAAAATAAAGGGTAGGGTACGGGTATGGTAATCGATAATACCCGCCCCGCTAACCAAAGGGTCAATTTCCCTTGAGAAATTTAGTTTAGCTTGAGAAATTGAGTTTAGCTACCATTATTGATGATGAAGATGTAGAGGATTATTATGTTTGTGTGGATTGTAGAAGTAAGAACAATTATTATGTGTTTGCTGTTTTTATTCGTGTGGATTGTTGAAGTTAGAACAGTTACAAGTATTGAGAACTTTTAGACAACACTATATATGTGAATATATGTGTATAAGTTCATAGTTTAGCATTCGTACCCATGGTTACCCAAATACCCGTGATTATCCAGTGGGTAAGGTATGGTTATATAATTTTCATACTCGATGATTATTTAATCGGGTATTTTAAAAAGCTCTATCCGACGAGTTAGTAGTTGATATAGGATAAACCTACGCCCTATCCATTGTCAATCCTACTACTGCGGCCACCACCAAACAAACAAAAGAAACCATCCACTAGACTCGGTCGGAGCTCGGGACCCGCTCCCTTATTCCTTTTCTTTCCGTTTCTTTTCTTCTCAGCGCACGCCCAAACCAAACCCAAATTCACCAAATAATCATAGCCTTTTTTGGCACATATTCCCATTTCCCCCAACTCCTACTTCTATGATTCTATCCTTTCCGTCCAAAATCAGCGACTCAGCGTAGATAAACGAGCAGACAACCCCACCGGTACACGTTATGTTGGAAGCGGCATCGTATTCGTAGCAGCTCTTAACCGTGAGTGGGTTGATTCGGATTAATCATAATTTGATGAGGAAAATGAGCGACACATTCTTGTGGGTCGATCTGTAGTAAGATTTTCGAGTTGGAGGTTACACGACTTCATTTTCTCTTTGGTTTGCAGATTGTACATCTTTTTCGGTTTTCCCGTCTCTAACCCTGTATTTGGAATTCTAAGTTTAACACTTGAATATTGATATTATATGAGCGTGTTTGAATTTTCACTATATGTTGGATTTAAGTACAAAATATTATTTTGGTGTAACGTTATATGTTATTACCCATATATCACACGAGATTTTATATAATTTATAAATGTATGAACGATATATTGATTTTTTAATCTAACCGAGCTAAATTAGACTAAATTGATCGGACCATTAATCCTCAAGTCACTTGCTCAACCCGCCCAGTGGAAATCAGTACGACATTGATCAGGAGCAAAGCCAGTAATTTGATGAGGGGCCAAAAATTAAATATTTCAATTGGTCGGATTAGGAAAAGTATTTGGAAAAAATTCAAAACTACCACTGTTTAAAAAAAATTACAAAAATACCACCAATTCCCAACAATTTCCAAAAATACCATCGTTTATTTAAAACCGCGCCTCTAATGAGTGGTTTTAATTGAAACTGCGCCTCCTGGCAGCGGTTAATGCACGAAACGCGCCTCCAAGGCACAGTTTGACTCTTCATGTCTGTCAAACCGCGTGGCCACGTGGCGGTGCATCACACGGCGCGATGTGGGAGCAATAAGACGGCCAAACCGCGCGCCAGCTCAGCGATCCGCGTCACTCAGTCAAACCGCTCCCCCGAAGCGCGGTTTGACTGTTGGGGAACGCAAACCGCATGCTAGAGGCGCGGTTTTAGGCGGGGTAAAAGGACGAAACCGCCCCTCCCTCACGCGGTTTCGTTCGTCCCTATGTAAACCCCCCTTCCCCCTCTCATTTTCTGCACACCAACCCATTCCCCCCCTCTCTCCCTCTAACTTCTCACTCTACCCACCCCCCTCCCCACCCAAAAACCTTAGAATTAGTTATTTTGTTGGTTGCGGCTAAGTCCGATCTGCCTTCAAAAAACTTTTTCTTTGGTTTTCACTAAAAAACCGTCGAACCTCTGTCCGGATTCCGAAAAAATGGTCGATTTCGCTCAAGAAGAGGGCCTTTTTATGATGATTATCAAACGGTGCGTACTCATTTTTCCCAATTGTTGTTGTTGTTATAATGATTTATTTAATTTATATACTAATTGATTTATGTTGTTGTTATGCTATCGTAGGTTGAGCCGGATGTTGATATTTACAATCAACGATATTATGTTGATCAAGGACCGATTGATCCGACAGTTTTATACGATCAAGCAAATCATCGTTCAAGAGACGTTTGGAACGACCACAAGGTACATATTATTTATCATCACTTGTAATTTGTATTTTGTTAAAGTAATTTATTTGTTTGTACAATAATTTACTTAATTGTTAATCGTATTGATTATTTTCAATAATTTAAATCAATACAATACAACACTTATTATTTAGACTCTTTATAAAGAAATGCATGTCTAAGGAAATGGAGACTTAAGCGATCATCATGATCCCCCCCCCCCCCCCCATGACTTGGGAAAATCGGGTTCTAAGCGATCCTCCGATCCCCCCTTTTTCTGTCAAAAAGAATGTGTTTCTAAGGAGATGTATACCTCTCCTAAGAGTCTTACGAGTGTACTTGTATTGCTTTAAATTATTGAAAATAATCAATACGATTAACAAAATAATATATTTGATTTTATGTGTATGTGTAAAAAAATAATTATACTTAAATTTCGAAAATTATTTTAGTTATGTTAATATTAATGTTTATTAGATAATGTATATTTCTCTAAAACAACCTTGATTTAATTAATATTGCATCTTATAATATTATTTAGTTATGTTAAAATTAAGGTTTATTAGATAATGTATATTTCTATAAAACAACCTTGATTTAATTAATATTGCATCTTATAATATATTTATATATGTATAAATCATCAACTTATAGTGAAATTTAAATTCTTCTCTAGGATGCATACCATATAGTCCGCTATAGGGGCACGACGAATGTGCTTGAATGGAACGACGTCATCTTGCCCTTTCTAAAAAGGGCAAGATTGGATTCGATTAAGCATTTTAATGGAATCAAGATCGACCGCCAACTCATCACGACGATGGTAGAGAGATGGCGAAAGGAGACACACTGGTTCAATTTTCGTGAAGGCGAGTGCACCATCACAAATAAGGGCATCGCCATCCTAACCGATCTTCCCATCGATGGTGATGTTGTTTGTGTGGACTCTACGCCACCACCTAAAGTTGTTGCCAATATGAGTGGTTGGCAGCATTTTATATGGACGGTCACCGGGTTGTGTCCGCCAGAAAAGGGAGATCACGATGCGGATGGTCATCCACCATTGTCCAAGGGCCAAGTATCCATCACATGGTTGACAACGGAGATCAGGCGTAAGCACAACCCTGAGTTCGGAGGCATTCCCCTCACGGAGGAAAGTTCGGAGCGTGATAAAGACATTTATGGTTGAAGATCATGAGCTAATCAGCAATTCATGGTTGAAGATCATACTTCGTAGTTGGGATGATATGGGAAACCTGAGTTGGGCATCTGCTTGCCTAGCTCATCTCTATCGATCCCTCTGTAATGCTAGTGCGAGAGTGGTGAAGGAGATTGATGGGGCTAGGGGTGTACATGGGTCGGGTGGTTCGAGTTTAGCCATTTTAATCACCCAATCCATGAACTACGGTTTGGAAAATATCAAACCCAAACCCACCCAAAAAAATTTAAACCCTACGGTTTGTTTCTAATTGGGTTGGATCGGGTTGGCGATATTTTTAAGTTAAAACCCAACCCAACATAAAATATATAATTATCCTACATCATAAAAATATTTTATAACTAATTAAAATTTCAAACGAATAAACCGAGGTGAAAGGTATCAAAATTCAAAAATGTTGTTTGAATTTAATAAAATGTAATTTACTTCAAAATATGTCTAGTTTTTTTTCACGATATTTGTCGAAATAGGCTAAAAAGGTTATAAACAAACGCATCCACAATATGTTATTCTATTAAAATTGTACACAAGAAAAACGATTACGTGAATCATAACTATATTCAATTTATGTCTAAACTTTAAGTCGAAGAATGCATTAGATTAGGGAGACCATGAGAGAAAAAACTTGGCGAAATATCTTAATTTTCTCATAAGTATGGCTATATACGACATAAATATTTTTTAGCTACGAACTCATACTAATAGTTGGAACACGGGTTGGGTCGGGTTCTACGGGTTGTGTAATCTAAAATCCAAACCCAACCCAAAAGAGGTGGGTTGTACAAAACAAAACCCTCACCCAACCCAAAATCTTTGTTTTAGCGATAAATACGGGTGGATTGGGTCGGTTTGGATGGGTGGGTCGGTTTGCGGGTGTGTTTGTTCACCCCTAGATGGGGCCATGTTCATCGTCCAATTTTGGGCTTGGGAGCATTTACCATGAATTGCGCCGAAGGTTGAACCCGACAAGGAATGGGGTCCCGACCATCGTCTACGAAATGAAGCTTATGGTTGTAGGTAAATGTTTTCTATCCCACTCATAGTTCTCACCATTTTTTACTAATTGGGTATTTTATAACGAACCGGGTATTATGTATTAACACTCCATACTTTTTGGATTGAATAGGTGGCTTGGTGAAAAACATGCGACAACCTATGAGCGCATAAGTTGGAGGAGTATCGTGGGAGGCTTGATCGCCTTTGGGAAGCAGAGGCGAGCATCATAATACGCTATTAAAGCATTTGATGGAGCTCTTCAAGCATCGGTCTCGTACGGACCTTCATTTTATAAAAATTGCCACCGACGTAACTTACACACTTTTCGGTCTCTTCCGTGTAACCATTCCACCGCAACCCAAGGAGTGTGAAGAATTTTAGTTCTCTGAAACAGCCTTTTATAGGCAAATTTTGCAGCAAAACCGCAGGGGGGGGGGGGCGGTTTTAGGTTTGCCATGCAGCCCCACCCCCTGAATGCCGACATGTCCGACATGTTTGCTGTCGGGTGACCATGCACAAACCGCGCCTTGAGGCAGCGGTTTATGTCTTGACATGGTAAACCGCCGCCTCGTGGGGCCGTTTATAATGCTGACATTTAAACGCACCCTCTTGAAGCGTTTTGTGGTAGGGTTAGTATATAACCGCGCCTTCCAGAAGCGGTTTTTGCTGGAAATTAAAACGCCTCTTGGCAAGCCGGTTGTATTGCAAACCGCTGCCAGGAGGTGCGGTTTCATTTAAAACCGCTCATTAGAGGCGCGGTTTTAAATAAACGATGGTATTTTTGGAAATGGTTGGGAATGAGTGGTATTTTTGTAAATTTTTTTAAAGAGTGGTAGTTTTGGATTTTTTCCAAAGTATTTGCAGCTAATTCACCTAAAATGAGTGGAATACGCAAAAAAAAAAATTGGAAGAAAAAGCAATAAGTGAAATAAGCAAAAGAGGTTGCTCGGATTTGAACCCACAACCTTTGTTTCTAAGTTAAAAACTCTCACCACTAGTTAACATATCCCGACACAGCGCTATTTATAGGTACTCGGAGGGTCATGGCCTCCAAGCCAATGGGAGCGGATCAGGTCAGTAATTCTTATGGTGAGTAATCATCAGTAACATGTCCATATCCGCATGACATCAGCATCCCTTCTCTTCTATAAAGTCTTTTCTCTTTTCTCTTTTAATCTTTAACGAACGATTTCTCTATCGTTTTAAGTCAAAATTTAAATTTTTTGCACAGATAAATCAGATTAAATGTGCTTTTTAAAATGATATCCACTTTGATATATTTTTAGTACAAAAAAAATTGAATAATTTTTTACCAGTTATTACCATATGGTATGCTCATATTTAATACCATATGGTAAGAAAGCGTACCATGATGGTATGAACATACTAATATGGTAAGAAGGTTGAATACATGATAGTAGGAGTATACTAACTGTCATTTACGACTTTCATCATTGTTTACCACAAGTTACCACCCACATACCATAGTGGTAAAGTATGGTAATTTTTGGTCCAGTATTTTTTTCACCCAGAAATTTGTAGATCCAATAGATCATGATGAACTCGTTCTTACTGAGCAAACGTTTTTAAAAACGAAGAAGTTACCATATGGTATGTAGTTGGTAAAAAAATAATTTCTTGAAATATATTGAAAATTGATCTCATTTTGTAGAGCACAACGAACTCGTTCCATGTGTGCAAAAAAAATTGATATCCGAGTTAAAACGAAGAAGATAAGAGTCGATTATGAAAACTAGGAAAAATAAAATGTCTTTAATTGACAACCTTCAGATCTGGATTTTCTGGGCCCACTTAGATCTAAAGGTCCAGATTTAGTTACTTATAGGTCAGTAACCATTATCCTAAGCCCAAGCCAAGAGTTGCCTCCGCCTCTGGTTGGTATCATGGTACCAAATATTGAAATCACGAATGTCGAATTATATAAAAAATCAATTCCAATATCAATTCCAAAATAAATTCAATATCTCAATCCCAAAATATTTTGCTATCAGAATCAGTATTCTCAAATACAAAACTAATTACATTTGTAATTAATAATAAAATAAATAAATAAATAGTGGTAGAACATCCCTAATCCCGAGCATTATATATTATGTAGTCATCTAGAATTGTATGTTAAATTTCATGATTGAAAATTTTGGTTATGAGAATTTGAGGTGAGAAACATCTTATAGAAACTAATTGAAGTTATCATTGATTGAATTCAATCAAGTCTCCATCGAACTAATTCATTATAGCTTCCCATTTAGCGCAAATAGACTAAGCAAAATGGGTAAGCTCGTCTAGACCTAGAACATGGATACAGAGAAGGGAGGAAATGGTGATATCTCATTGTCTTGTCATTTATAATCCTTAAATTGATGGATTGGAGGTTGGGAGACGATTAATGAGGGAGTATACTTTTTTGTGTCATGAAAATAATAAGCGATTGATTGAGAGATGAGAGTGACTTAAATTGGAAAGCCAAAATTGGGTTGGATGGGGACTTGTGAGTTGTCAAAAAGTGAGGAAGAATCAAAGTGTGTATTGATTAATTTTTTTAATTTTTTATGTTTCTCAATATTTTGATATTTACCGATCCCAATTTCGTGTCTCGGATACTAAATAGCACTCTAAAATGAATTCCAATTCCAAACCATTATTATAAATTGATATTTAGTAATACCAAATAGTGACAAATTTGGTATTGTATTCTATATATCCAAAGTACCGGTAATATAACTTTCAACCCTACAACTGGACCAACAGACTACACGGTATTAACAACCTTGTTGTCAACCCACGGATCGACCCTTAACCCACTTACTCGGTCGGCCAACCTGGCTAAACAGGTTAACAATAGGGATGTCAATGGAGCGGGTTTGCATAAATATTCCCATCCCCTGCTTTCAAATATCTAAACTCATACCCGCTCTATACACGTGGGTTTCGGATACCCATGGATAATACCCGTCCCGTACATCCAACATTATAATACCTACAATTTTACATGTAAATTTTCAATTATAACATTAAATGCATGTTTTATATCATGAAGTCGACAAAGAGACAATAATTCTTAATACGGTTCAAAGCATCTTATCCTAAAATATCCATTAATCATAAGATAGAGTACAATGCAATTCAAATCAGTATTCACTAGATCTGATATATCAACTAAGTAATAACTAACGAACATAAGCTTGTTAACATGAGTGGAAAAATGAAAGAGTGAATGGAGAGCTTGTTAACATGAGTGGAAAAATGAAAGAGTGAATGGAGAGCTGAGGAAAATGAATTAGGTTTTGATTTAGGTGGCCAGTCAATTGCATTTTTACTATTTATTTTCTTGAGCTACCTTCACTGTCATTGATAGGTTACAATTTTTATGCATGTATTTTTTATATGTGAAAAAATTCTATGAGTATAGGTGTGGGCGAGATACACTAAAACCATACCCGCTCCATATTGAATCAACGCGGGAATTTCCAACTGGGTTTTGGGCAGTCGAATATAGGGGTGGGCAACGGAAAACATGTATTTGGGTATACCCATTTCCGTCCCATTTTTTAAGGGTTACGGGTACCCATATTACCCGTAATTTTATTAACGGAAGGGACTTGGGATTGTACATTCCTATTTTGGGTACCCGCGGGTTACCCGCAAATACCCGTTTGGGTAATATGGGTACCCGTTATACCCATTAAATTTAACAAAAGCAGAATTATTATTCATTTATACCCTTTCAATTAATCAATTCCTTTTAGGCATTTGACCATTTCGGCGACCCTTTCCCCTGTCAAGATAGCCATTAGCCTGCCCTTAACCCTTTTGGTGATTTGCTTAAGTCTTCTTCCCTTTGCAAACAACAACACGACAGCAGCTTGCAGAAGGCAGAATGCCAGAATCGCAGCAGCTTGGCACTTGCATAAGGCGACCAGTAGCTTGTAGAAGCCAGAGCAGCAACAGCTTGCAGGAGCAGATCAGTAGCAACATGTCTCCCATTTGGTTGTGTTGAATGGATCTTCTTATTTAATAATTTGGTGGTTGGAATGATTTATTTCTATGGGTTGTGATTGCTCGTAAATGTGTAATTTTCAAACCGAGTATTTGTGATTGTGATGGATTTTGTGATTGTTAAGCAAGTACAAGTAAAGTTTAAAGTTTTGTTAAAATTTTAGTGATTTAAACTTTGGCTATTTATGAGTAATAGGGTACTCGTTATCCGTCCCGTACGGAAAATGAGTACTCGTTTCCCATATGAGTTTGGGACATGGGATGGACTTTAGTCTTCAAACAGAATTGGATACCCGTTTCAAACAGGACGAGTCCCGTTCCGTTGCCCACCCCTAGTCGAATACCATGAAGAGTTTGATTGCAATCCTAGTTGACAACCTTTTTTTAATAAAAAGTTGACAACCTTTTAGAGACACAGATAAAACCAAATACGATTTCCTCCCTCCTCCTCCGACTGTAGAGAGAGAGCAACAAACCAAACGAAAAAAGAAAGAAAAAACATGTCCGCCCATCTTCTTCCTCCCCGCTCCCGACCGTACCTCCATCCATCTATTCGTGTCCATTAATATTCTTCATCCAATCCCCTACGTGCCGCTTTTAGGATTCCATCCCCTCCCTTCCGCCGCCGCACTTTGCATCCAGTTTCAGGTGAGTAGTCTCGTCAATCTATCGCAAGTTCAGAAATTTATATCGCTTGAGTTTAATTTTTAGTGTTTGGCGGTCTAACTCTGAATTGGGTCTCAGCTGTTCCATCCAATTGGATCATTGATTTACCATGGCGGGTGAAGTTCTACTCCTAATTCGATCGCATAAGCTGAATAATTCAACTTTTTTTTTTCTTTTCCTATTCTGTTAGTCTCCAAGGCAATCTGGACTTTGTTGTTAGAGTTTTCATGTCGTAACTTTACCTTGTTCCCTGCGGATTATAAAAAAAGAATCTTTCCCCTTAAGCAGGCAATAATAGAAGAAGTTTTTTTTTTTCTTTCTCCAGTGCAGGAACTTCTGGTGTGGAACCTGTGGTTATGTCTTCATCGTTCCCAATTCTTCACAATTCAACCGCAGACATGTACCCCAAATTACCGGATACTTTCCAGATTCCTTCTGAGAGGGAGATGATGAGAAACCCTAGACATCAACACACACCTCCAATGGGCTATAGTACTGAGACAGTCGAGCACTTGTTCTCATCCTCTTCCAGATTCGCTGAAGAGATGCATGTTTCTTCACCCCAGGGAAAGCATTCTTGGAATTTGCCATTCGTTTCTCAACCCCCCATTGGAAGAACAAGTTTTCCGCCTTTGCTGTCTCCCCATACGGAAGCACAATCCTCAACATTGGGTAGTAGTCATTCTGAAGAGAGTATGATTGGTTGTTTTCCCATTGATCCGCTTCTTCTCGATTTCCCGGAGGATGTGTATATTCCAAATGTTTTTCATGATGAGCGTGGATGTGTGGTTGCGTCTGAAGACCTCACCACGAGAACGACAGATTTGCTGTTGGATTATCAGTTGATGGCGGCTGATGATGATCTCATTACGGACTGGAATGAAATCCGTACTGGAGTTACTGGCATTGAGACCAACCAAAAGGTACTCACTTTCATCCTGATCTAGTTTTGTTTTCCAAGCCTGAAACAAATTGTTACTTTGCTCTAAGACCATGCATGACATGGGGGATGCCGGGATGGGGAGATGGTGGCCTTAGTGTTAAAAATGACTGTAGTATAACATTGCTCGGCTGTGAAGCAAGCTCATTTCGGGATTTTATGCAGCATAGTTATCTTAGGATGATTAAAAAGAGGGTGAAATTGACTTGTTTGATTAGGGGAAGAACTTCAATCTGTGTTTGAGGACTGGTTGATTAGGAAAACACAAACCAGGTCTGTCTCTTTCTCTAAGCTAAATTATTGTATCAGGCGCCACAACAATTGTCTAGTATGCCAACTATCTCAGTAGAGCAACCTCAGTTTAATCAGCATCTTCAACAATCATCTAGTAACTCGGTGCCAACTATCTCACTAGAGCAAGCTCAGTTTAATCAGCATCTTCAACAATCCTCTAGTGACTCGGTGCCAACTATCTTGGTTGAGCAACCTCAATTTAAGCAGCAGCTTCAACAATCATCCAGTAACTCGGTGCCAACTATCTCAGTAGAGCAACCTCAATTTAATCAGAAGCTTCAACAATCATCTAGTAAGCTGGTGCCAACTCTATCAGTAGGGCAACCTCAAGTGAATCAGCAGCAAGCTGCTGTTAGTGGAGAAGTAAAATCTGCTGCCACCCCACTGTCCTCTGCACCAACATCAAGCAAAACCAGGATGAGATGGACACCAGAGCTTCATGAGGCTTTTGTGGATGCAGTCAATCAACTTGGTGGCAGCGAACGTATGTATTCATTCTGTAGAGGCTTTTACTATATTATTTGAATGTTAGATCCTGAATTAGCTGGTTGGCTTCAATTATTTTGACTTACAGGAGCTACCCCAAAGAATGTCTTGAAGCTAATGAATGTTGAAGGATTGAATATTTATCATGTCAAAAGCCACTTGCAGGTTCATTCATGGCTTTCTCAACATTTTCATTTTCCCCCCCTTTCGGAGCACCACTATGAGCTGTTCCTTTTTTTTCTTTCTCATGGACGTGAATTTTTTCAATTTTTAGAAGTACAGAACAGCAAGATACAAACCAGAGCCAACTACTGAAGGTGAGGTTTAATTCTCACATTTATCGTAGTTTGCACGCGTCAATTATTGTCCCCCACCTGGGATTTGTATGCTTAATCTTTATTTGATCCTTGCATTCTACTTTGTTCTGATCAGAGCATTGATGAGATGTCCAGTTTAACGAATGTTGTTATTCTCTTTTTCGTTACAGACTCGGAGAAAAAGTTGAGTTCCCTTGACTTAAAGAGATCTATGGACTTGAATACGTAAGTTTTATAGAATCCCTTGACTGTCTAAGTAATCTTGTATTGCTCTTTTCGCATCAGTTAATTCACCTTTGTTGTGGTAACAAAAGCAGAGCCACAGAGATAACTGAAGCTTTAAGACTACAATTGGAAGTTCAGAAGCAATTACATGAACAACTCGAGGTAATCCTGCTCCACCGTGCTTATAGCTTGCATATCATCGAAATCAGCCACATTCACTTGTGAGGGGGAAAAAAATAGTTTAAATATCATCTCGACTCTTTTCTGCCTGTGCTGATCATTTTCTCTCAATACCGCCAGACTCAGCGTAAATTACAGGTGAGAATCGAAGAACAGGGAAGGAATCTGCTGATGATGTTTGAGAAACAAAAGATGGGGGAGGACAAAACCAAGCTTCCTTCCCACCCCTTAGTCAATGATCCACAGTCGCATGCACTTCAGCCTTGTGAAGACGATAAATTAGAAGCAGCAGATGGTGAAGAAAGCTTCCACGACCCGATCACAAAGCGAACATCACCAGGGCCTGGAAACACAAAGGACACCCTCGACCAAACTGAAGAGGAAGAGTCCAGTCCAGTGCAGGCGAAACGAAAAAGGACGGACTAAACATCATCAGCGGCTGCATCAGTGTAGTCTCAGCCCTTTTATCTGATTACTTGGGTAAGTTGATTAGGGTACGATATTGCGGCAGAGTTTTGGGGACTTGAGATTTTTATTATTTTCAGTGAATGGTTTGGCAGTTGCCGCGGTGATGGCAAAGCAACGTCAATGGTCCCTTTCGCTGTTTTTATGTCGGAAGTTGGTCTAGTTTTATCATATGTGACATTGCTGTACATATTTTGTGACAACTAGAAAGTTGAAAATAATTCAATGGAAGAGGTCGGATAGAGACGGATTTGAGGCTACCGTAGTTTGGTGTTGCCAGTTGCCACACGACATGGCAGTTATTGCATTATCAGTGCCTTTGGGGTAAATGCTTGTTGGTGTAAAAGTAAGAATTTCTTTCGGTTCTAACAGAGATATGAGTTCTGACTTCTCACTATGAGAGGCAAAAGCTTCTCTAAGAATTTGAGTTTCTGGCTTAGAAGAGTTGCAACTTGCAACTTGATTTCATTGTTTCTCATCATGGTGGTTAGTTAGATAACATGGCGAAAAATGAGTGGATTTGTAATTTGTTCAGGTGATGAGCTTGTCACCCTGGTTTAACATCCTATACAAACAAATACGATGATTTTGAGCTCAACCCGTCTAGGGAATAGTTGCAAAAACTTGATGAAATAGGAAGGGGAAGATTTAGCTGCTCCTATCCATTCTTTCATGGTCGAACATCATTAGTAAATTTACTATAGATCGTTGGAAGCACAGTAAAACAGTCCAAATGAAATTTTAAAAGGGAAGGAATAGGTTAAAAAATTCATTCCTACAAAATCACTATAAAATCGGCTTAATTGTAAGTTTGGTCACTCGAATTGCTATAAAATTTCACGTTTGCCACTCAAATTAATTTATTCCATTTATAGTCACTCGAATTAGTTGAACAGTTCAAGTTCGGTCACTCTCCGTTAACCTCCGTTAACTTTGACTGACGTGGCGGTCAACTCTGACAGTTGACCGTTAAATGTGTGACGTGGCTACTAAAAAATAATATAATAATAAATTTTAATTAAATAAAATTTACACCTCATTTTTACATACATTAATATTTAAACGATGAAAAATAAAATAAATTTCTTTTCTTTTCTTCTTCACGTAATATGATTTCTTCTTCAGGAAATTCTCCGGCCTCGGATATCTCTTCCGAGGAACTTTCGTCGACGTTCCAAGTGGGGAATTGGACAAAAAAATGCAGCGATTCAATTAGATCATCTCCACACAGTCTCTCGGGCACAAACTCAGTTCAGGAAACTCATGGTCCATCAAATCCAGCCTCTCTGCTTTTCGGAGGAACAAAGCATTTCGACAAAGGGATTGGAAGTGAAATCGAGCGAGAGGGATAGGCCGTAGGATTTCTGACAAAGGGATTGGAAGTGAAATGAAGCATTGGACATAGGAAGTCCGGTACGATATGAAATCATCATCTGGTAATTAAGCCACGAGGTAGATGGGGTGCTCGGAGATCACCTCGTTGATCAGCTTCATGCACCCATCGAAGTTGGTGTTGATGCTGAGCATGAAGCGCTATTCGCGTTGTGTTGGAAGATGACGGAAGGGTCGGGCCTGCGTTGAACGCGACATATTTGGAAAAAAAAGATGGTGGCCGCGGAGGTGGCGGGCCTCATCGTGGATGTTATCATCGCCGAGATACGGGATTTGACGGAGTTAGAGGAAGAGGCCGGGGTCGAGGGTGGAGGAGGTGAAGGTGATTACGGCTGAGAAAATAAGAAATGACCCCAAATTTTTGGATGAAGACGATAGAACGGCTCGGTCATGCGGAAAATTGAGTCTCTGTTTTCCAATTAGGGATTTCCAATTCGGGTAACCAGTCCAACCTCCCTGGGGAACAAATCTAAAATTACGGCAGGCGAATATGAATTTGTTGGAGTTGAACGATGATGGGAATTGGGCACTGCTGATGCGCCGCCGAACTTGAAGCAATTGTCGGATAAGGAAGCGGTGTAGCGGTGGTGTTTGGTGTGGTGAAGAAGAAGGGAAAAGGTAAGCAGCAGGTGGCTTTTCCAATTTTGGGCTAACATACATAGACGAAGACGATCTTAGGTTAGGGGTTTCTTTTTCAATTTGATAATGTTAATTATTATTATTGTGTTGTTTGTTTTTGTGATAATTAAAGGAATTTCTTTTTTTCACTTTTTATAATTATAATTTTTTGTGATAATGATGTGTAATTTTTAAAAATTTAAATTTTATTTTTAATTATTTTTATTTGCCACGTCACACATTTAACAGTCAACTGTCAGAGTTGACTGCCACGTCAGTCAAAGTTAACGGAGGTTAATGGAGAGTGACCGAACTTGAACTGTTCAATTAATTCGAGTGACTATAAATGGAATAAATTAATTTGAGTGGCAAACGTGAAATTTTATAGCAATTCGAGTGACCAAACTTACAATTAAGCCCTATAAAATCCTATCATTTACCTTTCATTTCTGAGATTGATGGGATAAAGTCGATCCATCCGGTGGATTGGGATGCAATCAGGACGCTGGAGACGGAGCTCTCCCGCCAATGGGAAGCAGAGGAGGTTTTCTGGCAACATAAATTAAGTGGCTAAAAAAAGAGATCTGAATTCTGCCTACTTCCATACGGTCACAAGGGCGAGGCAGAAGAGGAACTTTGTTTTCGGGCTTCGAAATGCGGAGGGAGAATGGGCCACTGAGGAATGTTGTATTGACAGCCAACTAAAAGAATCGGACAAAACCTTTTCATCATCTGCTTCCTCTTCGTTTCATTTTTTCACTTGCCTTCCATATACCCTTTCTTTATTTCTTTCTTTGCCTTCTTCGTCTAACCCTAATTATGATACTATTTTTATGTATTCCAATCACAAGTATGCATTAACGGGTCCATACACGACTCACCAACAGTCTAGGGAACTAATAATTGAACCATGAACCACTAACTTTTTTTCATCTCAATGTCGAGTCCAATTAAAAATAAATACATATGGTTATTACTTATTAGAAATTTTTCATTTTCCACTATGGGATTTGAAGGCATGAAATTTTAAGCGAGTTCCAATTTGTATTACTTTTGCTTCTCTCTATAATTTTTCTTTTTCACCGGGACTAGAATTTTCAACAATTATACATTAAATGTTTGGGGGTGATAATCCCAAACCCAAAATTTAGCACCTAAATTTTTTGTCTATTACATTTTGGTACCTAAACTTTTGAATTTCTACAAATAGGTCTAATTTTTTTACGTGTAATTAAAACACTCTCGAATAGATGAGTATCCATAGCCAACTCATACATATTTAGATTATGGAAATAAATATCCATATCATATCCAAACCCATCTACAAACTTCCAACCCATATCTATGTCACCCATACTCTACACATGATCAATAGGTCTGCTTGGGTTTAGGTAAATATCATTTACTAGAAAAAATTTTCTAACAAAAATTTAACTGGAAGTTGACCGCTATATATTTCTTCTCAGTCAATTTACTAACAAAATTGCTAAAAAAAATTGTTTTAGGCTAATAATACTAACAAAACACTATAACGGGCTACACAATACATGCCCATAATTCATCTCCGCCCGCGACAAGGCGCTATATCGCCACCTAGTTAGACCTAAAACTAAAAATCCCAAATTCAAATCCTTTAAATAACACTTCATTAAAAACCAAACCGATATGTCCTTATAAAAAAAAATGCACTAAATTTAGCCCGACATTAGTCGCAATTGTGGGTGACGAATGACGAGTGACGACTCGAGCATTTCCCAAGGAGGAGAATGGGCCTAATCCAAAATCGCCCACCACATCGTCGATATCCTCTGTATCTTTACGAAGGAGGAGGACATGTAGCCTAACTGTCAAACGGGACGACAGTATCTCATTTCAAGAATTAGGGGGAGAAACTGCAGACCATCTCCGGAGAATATCAAAGGACACAGTCAAATATCAGTGTGTGTGTGTGTGTGTGTGTTAGCAACGGATTGCAGTGCATAGCAAAAAATTCCCAAAAAGAAGAAGAACGCGAGATGTTGTTCCAGGTCGGAGGGCAAGGGGATCGACCCACCTTCTTCGAGATGGCTGCTGCCCAACAGCTTCCCGCCAGTCTCCGTGCTGCCCTCACCTATTCCATCGGCGTACGCCTGACTAATTCCCCTAACCCTAAATTCATCTTCTTTTCTTCTTCCGCTTCTCTATTGTCAGCTTCTCGTGATTCCTTCTCAACGTTTCTTTCTTCTCCAGTGTTTTTTTTTTTGTGTGTGAATATGATAACGACCCATCGAGTCGATTGTGGCTGTCCATCTTAGGCTGACTCGAATTTCTTGTCCATCGGATTGGGTCTTTGGCAAAATCTTGCTGGTTGGTAACTGTGTAGACTTCTAGATGTGTGAAATGATAGAAATTGAAGAGCTACTGCACTGTTCTGTTTTTGCCTTTTTGGTTGATTGCAGTTTCGAAATGTGAATTTAATGATGGCACACCACCATGCCAACATAATGGGTGATGTTTTTCCGATGAACCATTTGCTTCTATGTTGTCTGGTGCTAATACGATGTAAAAATGTTGCTACTTTGTTTGTTTTTCCCACCCAATCCAGGTGTTGGCTTTAAGGAGACCCTTCCTCCACAAGGTTTTGGACTATGAAGATGAGTTCTTTGCTATGCTTATGCTTGTTCTTGAGACTCATAGCTTACGAACAACAGGTTTACTTTCTTCCCTTTTCCCTCTCTTTCTTTGTCTCCCAAAGCCATTGAATATTATCATGATGTTCCTTCTTCAACTGAGACTTATGCTGCCCATGGTTCAATGCTCTCTCTAGATGCTTCTTTTGCTGAGTCTCTATATGGGTTGCGGAGAAGATCAGTACAGTTGAAAATAAAGAATGACAATGTTAGATTGATAAAAGGGGAGAAATCTCAGCCCTCTGGCCTCGAAAAGCGTCAAAGAATTCTCTCGGTCGTATTTCTGGTATTGCCATCTGTGTCTCCTAATTACACTTAAGAACTTCCTAATTACATTTAAAGTGCTGAAACATTCTGCATTTAACCAGTTCGGGGGAAGAATATTTCTCTGATGTTGCTTGGGCAATGATCTTGTTTCAAACCTCTCTCATTCTAGAATTCCTGGTGCGCATGTTTATGGTTCTTTCCATGTCTGTGTTAGGTGGTCTTGCCTTATTTCAAGTCAAAGTTAAACTCTGTATACAACAGAGAAAGGGAAGCCAGACTTCAAGCAAGCTTGTGGGGAAATGATGATGAAACATTTGAAGGCACTTCCTATTTTGATGGAACAGAAGCTTCTCCTGTTCCCAGTAGGACTTCTGATACACAAGTGACAGTTAGAGCACGCCTGAGAAAGAAAGTTCAGAAGCTTGTTTTTGCTTGCTATCCGTTTCTACATGCTGGCGTCGAGGGTAAATGCAACCTTAAGGCTCTGGTTGGGGCTTTCTATTGTGAAGTACTTCTTATTTAGATAAAGCTTGTTGTCTTTTCGATCCAGTCACAAGCTGCAAAAATGAGGGTGATTTTCTTGCAAATAAATTTACACATTCGGTTTTGCTTTTGTTATTATAGTGGAACTGCAGCTGCGGATGATTGACTAGTTCATTGTCTACCTCCAATGTTGTTTTTGAATTATCTCCTGGGCACTGCTCTCCTTGGAAGGCTTATTTTGTGTTCCCCACTTTTTGCAGGGTTGTCATTCAGTTATCAGCTACTATATCTCCTTGATGCTACTGGCTTCTATTCCTTAGGGCTGCATGCTCTTGGGATTCATGTCTGTCGAGCTACTGGGCAAGAGCTGGTAATATAATTTGGGCAGAACTCTTCAGCATTTGTTATTAATATTTTCTAGCCAAAGAATAGTTAACCAAATGATAGTCATTGAGCATCTGATATAGTGTGAAATGTTACTTGATTTTCACTGCAATATGTGTCTCATTTACTGGATTGCTGCTTTTGTCTTTCTATTCTGACAATCATATCGATATAGGAGCAATAATTTTTTCTCTTATTGTCAACGTAGATGGATACATCTTCTAGAATATCTAAGATACGAAGTCGTGAGCGTGAGAGACTCCGGGGCCCTCCATGGTTAAAGGTACGATGATTGGATTTCTTCTTGATGTTTTCTATGAACAGTTTTCTGCAGGTGACATTTTGTTTAATTCAGTAAGTGGATAACATTTACAGGCAGTACAAGGAGCACTATTAAGATGTTCGTATACCATGCTTGATTATGCACAAACTGGACTAATTGCGGCAGTATTCTTCTTCAAAGTGAGTTTTCTGCTTTCATCAAGGCTTTTCTGGGAGAGTCAAGGAAGTCAAACTTGGATTCTCTTTATCTTTTCATGTTTTAGCCTCCTAGATTTCAGTTTTCCACTTAAAATATAGTTTTCCTCAACCTATTGCAATTCTGAATGATATCAATGCACCAGATATTATCTCTGTCACTTTACTTGTGCTTCGTTATATGTGTTTCTTCTACTCAAATGAGATTTTGGTGAGCATTGAATCTGGTTCTATTGCTCCATAGATGATGGAATGGTGGTACCAATCTGCTGAAGAGAGAATGTCAGCTCCAACTGTGTACCCACCACCTCCTCCACCACCACCTCCAAAGGTGAGAATATTAGAACCAATAAGTCTTGCTGTGCCCCTATTATCTCGCAACACACGGTCTCAGTCATAGGTTTATTACACATTCAAGTAGTGAATTACTACACTTGGTTTAGAATTATCAAACTTGGCACTTGTTTCAAACAAAAGGGAGAATAAGGAGAAAGAAACAATAGCCAGTATGGGTCATTGCTGCTTAAGATGTTAACTTTCATGACAGGTAGCAAAAGAAGGGATTTCACTGCCAAATGATAGAACTATGTGCCCATTGTGCTCACAGAAGCGAGCGAATCCATCTGTGGTAACAGTCTCGGGCTTCGTCTTCTGTTATGCTTGCATCTTCAAATACATATCACAGGTGATTCCTCCATTTGTCAATCGTAATCAATACATGGAAAGTTATGCTACCATCATCATCTAACATTACAATCTTTTTGCTCTCCTGTTTGAAACTTTTCTTTTTCTGTTTCCGCAGTACAACCGTTGCCCCATCACGTTGATGCCGTCAAACGTCGACCAGATAAGAAGGCTCTTCCACGATATGTAGGTTAAAGTTTTGGTCTCTGGAAGTTCCAGAGAACCCCATAACACACTTAGCCGCATTCGAAATAATGTTGTCATGAAGCTGGCTGTAGGTAGATCGACATAGTACAGAGGAATCAGTGTACTGCAAAAGTTCGTATAGTACATTTACAAACATTCTGATGGTCATTGGCAATTCAGGGTTGATGGGTTTGCTCGTTCTCTCTTTCCTATAGTTAGTCTGTATATTACTTATCAACTATCCAGTCGATTTGAGAGTTCCAGAAAACAGAAGAGCAAGTTCTATAGCAGTGGGCATGATCCCAGGCTCGATCCAGTTGATCCAATCAATTGTAGACTTGTAGTTCCAGACTGAATCAGCACAGTTCTGGGTGTTAAAAATTATTCCAATTAATCATTATAAAGAAAAAACGACAGGAATTCAACATTTTATTCCAGCGATTTCAACAAACATTGAAAGCAGAAAACTCGATCAAGAACAATGTGATGAAACTTAAGCAATGTCTGAGCTGGAAATTTTGGGGGTCAGAGTTCTACCTCTCCGCCAGAATGCTTCCAATAGCTCCCAACAGTCCCTATAGCCGGCGTTCCACCAAATCGCCGGCTCCTCGACTTTGCAGGCGAAGTAGCAGCATTTGCATCAACTTGTTTAAGCACGCCAATCGCCAGTGCACCTAAAACTACCTTCTTATCTTCCTTACTCTTAATAGGCAGATAGCCAGCTGAAGAATGATCGCCTCTGTCCTTGGCCTGACCACCAACTACCAGCCAATTGGAGAGGCTAGCATCAACTGCAACATCAATCTTGTCCTTGTTTATGATACTTCCCTCTCGAGGTTTCTCGATCGAAGGGCCGAAGCTAAACTCGGGACTCGAGCAGCTTTCGATGTTAATGTCGACGTTGACATTTTCCTTGTCCTCCTGACAATGCTGCTGCTGCTTCTGACTTCTTGCATTGCCTCCTCCTCCTGCTGGTTTCAATTGGGTTGTGGTATCTTCCACTGGTTTGTGAGATGGATTGGATTTCGGGATTGGGCTTGTGATCTCCTCTCCCTTTTCACCCAAATCAGCGGCTTGATTTTTCCCGATTGAGATTGAAAACAATGACTCCGACGACTCTTCCATCACTCTTTCTTCATCACCACCACCGTCACTCTCTTCATCACCATCTTCAACCTTCTCTTGACTCGAAGAACGCGGCGCCACATTTGCTTTCGGTTCGCCATCTCCATTTGGGTGCTCTTCCATTTCCCCATCAAGCTTCTCTACATTGCCAACTTCCTCTGCGGGCAACGACAGGGTTTCTTCTTCAACCTTGGTTTCGAAAGTGGCCCACTTTATGGCATCGCAACTTTCTTCAGCGTTCTCCACAACCTTCTCCCTAAGAAGAGCATTGCCAGAACAGATTAATGAAAATAAGCATTAGGAAGAAGATAAAAAGTTTGAATCTCAGAACGGCAGAGAAACGAGAGCTTACTTGGATTCTGGCGAGACATGGTGATTGATGGGTTCCTTGGTGGGAATCTCTGTCTCCAGTAGCTGAGTTCCTCCATGGCCGGGTTTGTCTCTCTGGAGGGAGCGAACGCAGGAGTCAAAAGTTTAGCCGAAAGGCGAAGATGATGGGAAGGAAGCCATTATATGGAAGCAGAGAGGGGGAGACTTACAGGTTGGTTAGAGGGAGAAGAAACATCGGGCACCAGACGATATTGATTGCGCTTTCGCTGCTTAAAAGCAGTAAAACAGGACTTAAACTTAAAGCACACCATTGTGAATAATGAACACGAAGAAACAAGTCTTTTGACTTTGGAAAATTTTGGCAATCCCAAAAGTGTCGACTTTGAGAGAAAGGGTAGTAGCGGCTGGTGGTGGAGAAGAAGGTCGGAAAAAATTCGACCGTTGGGGGGAGAGGGAGAAGGGTTTCTGCTGGGAGTTTTTGTATTGTACTGTATCTTCTTTTTTCTGTTAGTTATGTGTTTGTTTCAGCGGAGAAAGAGGAAACACATGGGCTCTGTGCAACAGTCAGTAGCTAGCAAGCAAGCAAGCTTTATTGATTAGTGAGTTTACTTGAATGAGTGGAAGATTCCAAAGTAGTTGAGGTATGAGGGTGTATTTATGAGATTTTTTTTCAAATACCTTCAGGCTCAACTCGATTTGAATTTATTTTTGACGTATAATATTTACGCAAATGGTTATGAATTAAAAAAAAAACAAAAACAAAAAGTCCCAATCTTAATAACTTTACTTTTTGAATGTGTAGGGTGGTTCATCGAATCATGATATTGAATAAGTTTGAGTTAGCTAGAAGAGTGGTTTGGGAACAAGTCTTGTGTGAGAACTGTGTCGTTCCCTAATTAATTATGCAGTTACATTAATTAGTGAAGAACATATGATTCAATATGAACGGTTGAAAGGAGCGGAGAATGTGAATACATTAAAGGCAGTTTCAGGCCCTATAACGATCAAGTAATATGTGAGTATCGATGAGCTAAAGGGGAGAAACTATAGAGAGTTAACCATCATTCTCCTGTGGATATAAAAGAATACATGGTCACTGTTGTTGTGAAGCTAGTGAACCTTATTATGAAAGTGGTGTTCAAGTGTTTTTTACTAAGACCATTACCTTCCTGCATATCTTAGCACCCCAAACATATAGTGTGTGTTGGATTGTTGTCTCGTAGTGCTCTGACTTGACCACTAGAAAAATCTGTCATGAGACCTAGAATGTTAACTCATTAGCATTAAGCTACCATATTTAATTGAAAAATGACGTGGCAATAAAAATGCAATTAAAATTTAAATTATATTAATCGAAGTCAAATTGCAATTATATAAGCTATCATATCTTACAATTTCACATAAGCATCATAGATTTTTTATTTATTTATAGATAAAACAGTAAACATATAAAACATTTATTTTATTAAGAAATAAGTTACGTCTACATATGCAATTGTAAGTTAATTACATTGATGTTGGTTAATGAAAATAATGTGTACTCAATTAAAAAAAAATTGAGGCGACAATAAAGAGCACTAAAGCATTTGCTTTTGAATTTAATTGATGTGGATGCTCTTAGCAATTAGGGGTTTGTCTCCAAAATAATAGAAAGGTTGTCATCCCATATTCGTGAGATCCACAAACTTATGTAAAAAAAAAAATTCCAGGTAAAGGGCCTTCACTGTAGCCCACGAAGCGATCATCAAATCCAAAGAAACTTGTTTGGCCCGAATCCCCGATTGAACAAATGAGTTAACGAGTAATGATCGGATTGATTTTGTTTGATTTCACCTGAATTAGTCCGGATACGTGAAAAATGCCCTGTAAAAATTATGGCTAGTGCCAAGAATATATCAATCTGTCCATCAATTTTTAAAACAATATTTGATGTATAAAAGCCTTAGTTCTATGATTACTATTCATTGAGAGGTTCAATTGTAAATAACACAATTTTCCAAAGACAATAGTCTATTAGAGTGAGTCTCATCTATTCATCTCCTTTTTCCTTTTTTAATTATTTTCTTTTATCCCCAATTTCTTATCTCTTTATTCCTAATTTTCTAACTCCTAATATTATTTTTGGTTTTCTGTGGTACTGAAATCGATCTATTTGTTCGTATTTGCTTATTCGAAACTACATCTTTGGTTATCTCTCTCACTCGAGCTCTAATAGAAAAATCGCGAAGAAATCTATATGGTTCTATCGTACAACATCTCCACCGTATGCGTCCATCTCAACAGTCAGCATATTTTTTAATCCCACAAAAAAGAACTCGCATAAATGCTAGCCGTTGAGATGGACGTGGAGGTGGAGATTGTTGGTGTACGACATAATCCAATATATGTATGGTGTACGATGACAAAGGTTAGCGTACGCCTGGTTTAGGCTAGCATACGTCATGCGTACTTTATACGCACGTCGAGTATTACTATTTAGAGCACAAATTAATCGGAGTTTGGAGCATGATAATATACCCTAACCTCTAATGGGTGAACCACGTTCCCAAATTCTCTAACCCAAGCCACAAGATTCATTTAATCTAATCGACGGTTTTGATTCAACGAAATTTATTGAAGTGAAAAAACCAAGTGTGAACACAGGCGTACAGTGTACATTAGTCGTACGCTAGCGTTTGTCATATATGTATACGACTCGTATGCTCCAGACGCATAGCAATGCTTTGCCTTTTGCATCGTCATTCTGAGCATACAATTCATGTCAAAACGGTATCAATCATTGCTTATGATATTATGAACAAGAAACACATGAATTTTCAAAAAACTCATTCAAGATTTTCTTTAATTTGAAGGATTTAGGATCTAGGGATTTAGGATTAGGGTTTAGATTTACAATTTGGGGTTTTGGGGTGGAATTCGAAATTGAAGGTTAAATGGTTAGAATAATGGATTGATTAGTTGTGATTCTATGTTATATCATCATATTAGATCAATTCTACCAATTACATTTAGAGTTTGATGTATTATGGTCACTTTTAGAGTTGGGTGCATTGTGGACACCCAAAAAACTGAGTGCACCAAAGTAGCCATATATATATATATATATATGATCCAACATAACATTCTTCCAATAACTCGAGTTATTGAGACTAACTGGTTTATGACATGGTATCAAAGCTGGTTTGACCAAGTGGTCGTGTGTTCGAATCTTCACGACCCCTAATAGTAACAGCTGATTAAAGCACTTGGTTTAGTAGGCATGTGCAAACTTCAAGCCCATGGGTTGGGTTCTGTTTGAGGGAGCGTGTTAGAGAGAGGTATAAGATGCTTGTCGAGTTTTACTATTGGACACTTTTTTATTTTTCTTATTTTAATAATTTAAGATGAAAACAATAATAGTAAAAATTCAATATAAGAGGTCACGTCGACGCTGACTGAATTTTTTGTAAAATATTGATGGTCAAACTCGGTCAACATCAACAGAAAAATAATTCAGGCATAAATATAAGTATAATATAATATGTAAAGTTCTCTTAACTTATAATACACATTAAACACAGCTGTGGATAGTCATCGCCTATCATTCAACATAATACTGAAAGATGAGGATTGAAGACCATTGGAGTGGGATCCATTTGTCTATATCATCTCAAATCTATAGAAGATATTGTCTTAGTTGATCGGTGTATGTTCTTGAGAATTTTACATATTTGTTTATGAAAAAAAATTCTCCAGTACAAAGATAAATTATAATGCAAACCATATACTCTTTGGTCTTTGCTCACTATATGTTATCCATAATTTTTTTTGAATGTGTACAAAACGGTTCAACTTATTTGATCCTAACTCAACCAATCAGCTTGGAAAGGTCCATGATAGGATATCTGGACCTTTAAATTTGAGTGGACTAAGACAATTCAGTTATACTAGGTGAGATTAAACTCTGTGATCTATAAGTTGAGATTCATTTTCAATATATTTCAACAAACAAAATTTCATACCAATCGTTACCACCTTGGTACCATCCTGTACCACCTTCGTTTTTAACTCGAAGTCTGAATTTTTTTGCACAGATGGAACGAAATCTTCTTGATCTATTGGATCCACAAATTTCTGGGGGGGGGGGGGGGGGGGGGGGGGAGATATAGGATTATAAAATATACCACTCTCAGTAACACGCTGGTATAGGGGTGGTAAGTAGTAGTACACAATGATGAATGTGGTAAAAGAAAGTTCGTATATTCCTCTAACCTTGAACCTGGAGGTTCTAGATTTAGTGGTAATACCACTAGCCTTGAACCCAGAGGTTAGGGATGGCAATCAAACCCATGGCCGCGGGTATCCGACCGCCCCCGACCCAGTCAACGCGGGGAATCCCCGCTTTGACCGGGTATGGGGCGGGTATGGGTAAAACCCGCAAAAAGTTTGATGGGTATGGGGCGGGTATGGTTTTAGCCTCCCCCGCCCCATACCCATCCTCATACCCGCCCCACCAAGATAATTTCTTCATATATAAAAAAAAATATGTGCATCAAATTATAATCTATCAATGATGATGAGGATAACTTGAGAAAATAAATAGTAGAAATGCAATTGAGTGACCACCTTAATCAAAATCTAATTCATTTCTCTCAATTCTCATTTCACTCTTTCACTTTCCCCCTTGTCAACAAGATTATGTTAGTTAATTATTATTTAGTAGATGTATCAGAGTTAGAACATAATAATTTGAAAAATATTATACTCTATATTATGTATTAATGGATATTTTAGGATCATAATCTTTGAACCATATTAAAAAATGACTGTGTTTTGTTGACTTCATGATATAATATGTTCGTTTAGAGTTATAATTAGAACTTTTCTTGTAAGTTTTAGGTATAATAATGTTGGATTACGGGTATGGGTATTACCAATGGGTACCCGAAACCCACGGGTATGAGGATGGGTTTGCAAAATATTTTCCCGTATGGGTATGGGGTGGGTATGGATTTGGGTATTTGAAGATGGGTATGGGGATGGTTTAAGCAAACCCGCCCCAAACCCGCCCCCATTGCCATCCCTACCAGAGGTCCTAGGTTCGAACCCTTAAGTAGTACCTAATCACAAAAAGTAATTTATATCACCCTTATCTAAAAAAAAGAAAGTATGTATATTCCTACTATCATGTATTTCAACCATCCTACATATTTTATGTTCTTACCACCATGATACACTTTCGTACCACGTAGTATGATCTTATGTTCCTTAAAAAAAAAGTATGATCTTATGTAGTACCAAGCAGAACCGGCATGATATAGACTAGTACTAAATGTCAATTTTTGTTTGTTTCAAAAATATATCAAAGTGGATATCATTTTGAAGAATACAATGAATCTTATTTATCTGTGAAAAAAAAATTAAATTCCAACTTAAAACGAAAGAGAAATCGTTTGTTACAAATTAAAGGGAAAAGGATTAAAATCTTTCCATAAGAGATAGGGATGATGATATGACGAATTATAATTGAATTATGCATGATTATTAACGATAAAACTATGCACCTAATCGCTCCAGCAACCAATTGCTTAATCGGATCATCCACACAAATTCAATATTTTCATAACATCAAATTATAAAATGCAGTTCGATTAAATTTATCCAAAGCTGCACACAACCAGACAATACATGTAATGTAATGGACTTAAGCCTACCTACCTAACCTCTTATTCATCCAGCCCACTGCTACTACTACTCTTATCTCATGGTATGGGCTTGAATTTGATAGCACCATAACATACTTTTAGAAAGTCCATCATTAACAACCTTCACCTGCACCCATCACCATCAGCCTCTTCCTCACCAACAAATAACAACAACAAAAAGCAAAGCACCCAACAGGACAGGTATGGGTGTGCTGTGCTCTTCTTGTAAATGAGATATAATGACACATATCAACAATGATAAAACCCAAACACAGAAATCTCACATGAACATCAACATCATCATTCTCTATACTTTTTTTCTTCATATTGATAAAATTGTCAAACCGGTTTAAATTGTTAGGCCAGTGAAACAAATGATTTGAGGTTCATTGACATATCAGGGTTTGATGAGTTTAAGCCATTTTGTAGCTAATATAAAAATATATGTGTATATATGGTAATAACTTAAGATTTTTTAATAATCTAAATGTAATTATGTCAGTATTATATAATAATTGGTATTATATAAGAATTTAATAATTAATATATTCTGACCCTCACGCTGCGTATATTTGCTTTGCTTCCAAGAATACGACTTGAGAGATGACAAAAATATATCTATCTATCAAAGAGGCTAAAACTAGGTAGGTTTCTTGAGAGTTTGACGAGTTTAGGTTTTTTTTTCCAATTTTTACCGTTTTAAAAAAGGTTACAGGTATAATGTACCCTTCTACTGTGTCATTTTATCAAACATGGCCCTCTACTATTTTTTACATCAAACATGCTCATGTACTTTGGAAATATGATCAAACGTGTCATTCTGTTAAAATTTCCATGGTTGAACCGAGATTTAGACGACCCGACATCGGCAAATGGGAGGGAAAATGTCAGTTTTACTTTTATCCCCTATTTTATTTATCTGGGTCTCATAAAAGTGAAATTATTAGAATTATTGGGCTATACAAAAGAACCAAAAAAATTCAAAAGTGAAATTATTAGAGATATTTTAGACATTTGTGTCACCCTAACCAAAGTTTGGCCGTGGTTAACGGTTTTTGGATGAAAATTTTAACAGAAGGGCATGTTTGATCATATTTCCAAAATACAGAGGCAATATTTGATGTAAGAAATAGTAGAATGACATAGTAGACAGACAAATTATACCTATAACCCTTTAAAATTTTTTGACCGTCTACCGATTTGAAGGAAAAACTATTTTCTGGGGCCGTTTCTAGCACCAACTCCGGTCTAACCCAGTCCAACCAACCGGCCCGACTACCACTTGACAATACTGCATACTGAGCTAGCAAAAGGTAATGGAAAAGTCACACAAAGATCAAGATCGGCTCCAAAAAGAAAAGAAAAAAACACGAGACCTGCGAGAACCCAACTGAAACCATATTAAATAACATCAACTAGCTTGGTTGGGTGGAGAATTGGAAATTGTGATCAACGAAAACTCAACTAGCTAGAAAGCCTCCAAAAGAAAGAACACTAATAAAGAAAGGAGAACCTGATTCATGAGGTTCGTCGGAAAATCCTATTTCCATATTGAAATTTCTGCAAAAAAATATTAGAGTTTCACTTAACTTAGAATACACATTTAACAGAGATCATCATCACCTTACCTATCATTCAACATAATACTGAAAGTTTGAGCACCATTGTTGGCGTGGGACCCAAGCCAAGAGAGCGACAAAAGGTCCCATCCCATCCATCCATCCAAACACATGAAAGAATATATTCCCTGCTTCACCAGATGATGTTGCTACTAATGGTTGGCTGGCTGCCTGTTTATTTATTCATAAAAAATCGTAATCGTGTAATTAAACGAGGGGTTCGTTGGGATATTGAAGGCGACATTTCTTCCTCATGTCTCTCAACCTCTTTTTAAAGCTCTCTAAGCACAGTTTTCCTCTTGTCCCAAATGAGCGACACATGTTCTTCTTCTTCAGCCTACGAACAGCAACAAATTAGCTCAAAGGTTGGTTTACTGTATTTTTTTCTTTTTCACTGTTCACAGAGACGCAGACTTATATTTGATGCAGAGGTGTGGGGAATGGATGTCTGTCTGTTTGTTTCTCGAGAAACGGGGTGAAGAAAAAAAGGGAAATTTCCCTCTGTCCGGATTTTAGCTTCCCAACGTTATTTCCCTCCTGCTCTGTTTTTTTGTTTTGTTTTGCATGAACGTGTCTCGATTTTGCCCAGCTTTTCGTCGGCTTATCCTGTGGAGAATCTGTTTTTGGTAGCAGTGGGAATCTTTTTTGTGTGGCAGCTTGGCATGTGTCCCCTGCCTTCCCTCAATGCATGCCTGATTTTCATGGCTGACATTTTCATTTTATCCCCTGCTGCCGTTATCACATATTTACTGTGAGAATATGCTGATTGCCTGAAAGCTGTTAATTAGTTTCTTCGTCTCAGTGAAGATGGAGGAGGGTGGTGGTGGGGTGAAGAAGGAGAAGTCAATAGAGAGAGTGGTGTCGCAGAAGGCGCTGCAAATGGGGAGTTCATTCCCATGTCAAATCTGTGTGGTGGGTTTTCTCTGTGGAGTCTGCCTTACCTCTCTCTTCCTCGCTGCTCTTACCTCTTTCGGCAGTTTTGGCTTTGGCAATGGCGGCTCTGCAAGTTCGTTCTCAGCACTTGCTGCTTCCACCGCCAATTCCACTTCTAACTTCATCGGTAGGTCCCATCATCAACTCTTATGTCCAAAAAAAAAAAAAAAAAAAGAAGAAGAAGAAGAAAGAACAAGAGTCCTTGGAGTTATTCGGGTTGTGGGTTCGAATCTTACAAATTCCAAGCATAATTAGTTACAAATTCTGCTTTAATGTACAAGTTGGATTGCATTTAGGAGGTGGAGAAAGTGGTACTAGGAGAAATGGAATCGTTCTGTTATAATTGCAGGGTGGTGGAAGGGAAGCAAAGCAAAGTCAGGAAAGTGCAAAAGCAGAGTTTTTTTTTTACTTGTCAAGTACATTTGCTAGTGAGATCATGGCCTTCAATTGATTGCCTTTTGACTGAAAATTTCTCACTAAGGCTTCAAATGATGTTGAAGTTTCAGATCATTGATTTTGGGATCAGCTAGAATGGATTTCTATTGAATCCTAATCTTCTAAGGATTGACCGTTTGGTGGTTGCAATTTCATTTTATTCCTGAGACTAGAAAGGTCACACTCTTTGAATTGCACGGAATTGCAGATATGGTTACAACAACAACTAGCACTTGTACAACAAACTGCAAAGTTCAGAAAAAGGGGGCAGACAGATTAGCTGCCGATTCACAGGAAAGCGGAACAGAGAGCTACAATGAGAGAGTGTCTCAGCTGTATTCAGCCTGGAGCTCGTTGTTAAGCGAACCACAAGATGGACATTATTACAGCGAGCCATCGAGAAGAACGAGTACCGAGGTCAGCAAAAAATACACTGTAGTAGCAAATGCACCACACCTCGAGGACTGCAAGTCAACTGCTAGAGTGAACCGTCGACTCGATCATCGTGCTGAGAATGCGAGTTACCCTCCATGGACGACTTGGAAGGGTCGGCTGGATAGTTACCCCAATGCGGACCAGAGCAGCAGGTCGAGGCGTGACCAGTCCATTTCTGAAGGTGCTTACCCTCCTTGGGTACGTTAACAACTAACTCTAGTGTTGCTATATTACGATTCGATCGATAAGAGGCATGTACCAGGTTATAAATGGCAGGGTTTGAAAATGCCAAAGAGAGTTTTGGATTAGAGAAGAAACATTAGTCAGTTGTTGAGTTCTGCTTGCTCTCTGCAGATAAGTGGATCAGACGAAGAGAACTACCCTCTAACACGAAGAGTGCAACGAGACATATGGGCACATCAGCATCCACCAAACTGCAGGGACGACCCTGAAGTCAAATTCCTCGTGGCCGATTTCGAGAGGCTCCCAGGGTTTGGGATCGGAGCTCAGTTTGCTGGAATGTGTGGACTTCTAGCCATTGCAATTACGGAGAAAAGGGTCCTCGTGACAAACTACTATAACCGCGCTGATCATGATGGTTGCAAAGGTAGATACGAGAAACCGGTCCCTGCTCAATGCTTTGAAGCAATTAGAAGTAGAAGACTTGATCATGGTTCTGTGTGTTTTTTTTTTTCCAGGTTCTTTTCGCGGCAGCTGGTCTTGCTACTTCTTTCCTGAAACGTCTCAGGAGTGCAGAGACAGGGCGTTTGAGGTTATGGGAGATAGAGAAGCTTGGGAGAAAGGGATCATAACTAGTAAAGACAACTATACATCAAAGGAGATTTGGGCTGGTAGAACTCCAAGGCATGTTAGTTTGGAACACCAACTACTTTGCACTTTGCTAATCTTTCAATCTGTTTTCGAATTTGGCATTCTCGTGCTTACGCATCTCCAGTCGTTTGATCGTGATCTCGATGACTGTACCGGTTTATAAGCACCCAAGCCGGGTTGTTCATTACAATATGATATGGTGATATTGGTTAATAGTTAGTTAACCTTTTTTTTTTACTTCTTTAACACACAGGGTATGGGGTGAGCCTTGGAGTTATTTACAGCCAACAACTGAGATCAATGGCAGTTTGGTTGCTTTCCATCGCAAAATGGACCGTCGATGGTGGAGAGCACAGGCAAGTATCCATAATTCATACTTAGTGGTAGTCTGGCAATCAAGGGCTCTATCAGGTGGTTCTGAAAATACATGGTTTCTGAGGAATTCATCATTTCTCTTGTGTTGTTTGTTAAAATGTGACACGAAAAACAATGTATTTTCAGAATGTATCATATGCTTGATGAGATTCCAACAGTGCACTTACCTTTTTTTTATGACACTTACTGCAGGCAATCCGTTACTTGATGAGATTTCAAACAGAGTACACTTGTGAATTGATGAACTCTGCCCGCCACGCCGCATTTGGAGAGGAAGCTGCAAAGATGGTCGTCAGCAGCCTTGGAGAAGACTGGGACAAGGTCGGAGCCAGCTGGAGGATTTTCTTAATTGAAATTTTATCAAATCAAACCATCCTCTTGGTTGACATTGTATCTAAAACAGCATTAAAAAAGGGGGTTGTTCTGATTTTCTTTTTACAACAGGAAGCCGAGGGAAACAGCAGGAAAATGGGAGAGATAGAAGAGTACGTGTGGTCGAATCACAAGCCATGGATTCCCAGGCCACTTCTGAGCATGCACGTCAGAATGGGAGACAAAGCCTGCGAGATGAAGTTGGTCGAATTCGAAGGCTACGTTCGCTTAGCCGACAGGATTAGGCAGCGCTTCCCACATCTCGATCGCGTCTGGCTTTCGACGGAGATGGAGGTAAGGAATTGCTTTACCCTTACGTTGTCAAGCAGGATGGTGACTAATACTTACAGGGAGACCAATGTAGCCGGTTTTTCAAATTGGATGGGTTTTTTCGAGCTTATGAGTCGAAATGGTTCTCTTTTTTTTTTTGCTGAAGGACGTGATCGAGAAGACGAAGCAGTACAAGAAATGGAAGTTCTACTACACGAACGTGACGAGGCAGGTTGGGAACATAACGATGGCTAGGTACGAGGCAAGCTTAGGGAGGCAGACCAGCACAAACTACCCGCTGGTGAATTTCTTGATGGCCACGGAATCCGATTTCTTCGTGGGAGCTCTCGGTTCGACGTGGTGTTTTCTGATCGATGGGATGAGGAACACCGGCGGGAAAGTTATGGCCGGATACTTGAGCGTAAACAAAGACCGGTTCTGGTAATGTATTGGAACGATCCTAATCCCCCTGAGGTGCACTCTGGTTTACTTACAGATGTGGATGTAGATATCTAAATGCAACTTCACGTATATACATGTATTTTTTGGTGTCTTGGTGAGTCAGCGACTAGAGATTTGTGTGTGGTGTTAGTTTGTACTGTATGTAGGTGTACATCAAGAACAATTAGTTTGTGTAAGGCACTCTCGTCTGCTCGACGAACGATAGCACGAGACATTAATGTTAAAATGTCTTACGGTTTGGACCGCAATGTTGTAGCTTTTGTTCTAAAAGTAGTTTGCACAAGAAGTGCTTTTTTTATTTTACTTTTGATATCCAGATTTTAAGGCCATACTGGATCAAGTTTGGATTGGTTTTGCTGGCAAGAAAAGGAAGAAAAAACATTACAAACTAATGCATTTATTCTTCATTTCGTACTACCGAACTCCGAAAATCAGCCAAAGTGCCAAACAGTTCCCGAATTCAGACCCACAAAGACAAAGGGTACATTTTCAGTTTGGTCGGTTTGACATGCAGTTTGTTCCGGTTTAGTCGGATTTATCGAACTGCATGCCACTCCTAAGGTGTTAGCATCATAACACTTTAAGTGTTGTTATACTATCTATTCTCAATAACAAGTGAAAAAACGAGTAAGACAGAAGAGTCCAGCAAAAAAGCAAGCAGCGGAGTTAAGAGAGACGGCGGACGCCGAGGCGAGGGAAACCCTCAACCAGAAAATCTGCTGCTTGTTTGTTAACTTGATAACCAATAACTCGAGTACAATTGGATTAATGCACAAACAACAAATGAAGGAACCAAACCAAAGAACAAACTACTAGGCTGAGACAGGGAGAATGGGAGATGGAGATATAAAGACAGATGAAACAAGAGGATCAGGATCTCCATCCGATACACCCTCTGCAAATTTTCACATCACATAACAAATACAGCATGTGGGAAGTTTCACAATCAACCCATCAAAAGAGTAAACTCAACCTAACCAACCAATATATTCTTCATAAATCAATCCCCTGGCGATTCACAAGAAGCTGCATTGTCAAACCCGTCCGGAAATTATGTCATGCCTCGGAAGAAAAGAGCCTTGCCTCACCCGCCCTTTTCTGCAGGCACTCTGAAGGGCCAAACACTTGAGGAATGCTTCTCGGCATCATTGATCTTCAGCATTTCCACTGTGATTATGTGCCCCAACACTATCCCCTCCTCCTCCGCCCCCGGTTCTTGCTGCCTGCTGGTGTTGCTTCCTATGATGTTTCTTGGTCCTGGCTTTCCTAGCTTTCATCCGCCGCTTCTTCTCATTGGCATCAACCCACTTGTAATCTGATGGTATATGGAAGGGGTCAACCTCATCCTTGTACCGATGGCTGTCACTATCACTCGACTGACCTCCTCGACTTCCACCTTTCATCCATGAAGATATCCATGATGTAGTTGTAGACCCAGCATCTGATGAGAATTCCCTGGACTTTGAATCCTGGAAATGTGTTGGGCTGGAGAGAGGCGTTGAGAATTCCTCCACAGGCCGAAGCTCCTCAAACTTCGTGAATGTCACAATCACCCTTATGGTTGGAACAATAGGTATAGCTACCTACAGTTGCAAACAATAGATAATAAGTCATAATCTTGGATTGTGAGCATCCACTCCCCAATGGGTTAGTACAAGGAGGCCAAAGTTCAACAGCTGTATCATCTAGCTTTTCCACCCAACAAAATTCGAGCTTAGTTTCCTGCTACTACAAGCAGCAGCAACTATGAAACACTAGGCAAGCACATTTCATTCAATAACTGATGGGATTGATAATCACATGAAACTTCTCAGAGTTATCGGATCCTTCTCAAAGAGTGGGGTAACACATCCGCCATACAGTTTGTAATTCACTTACATTTCTCATGGAAAAGCATGCAAAAACTCTTGCAAGCTATGTCCATATCTAGGCACCTAAGCCTTGTGTTGGATTTGAAACAGGCACACAAGGAAACACTCTACACTTAACCAGATAATTCATTCTTGAAGCTTCGATTGATGGGGAATAGTAACAAAACCAGTATCACTCTTTTTGCAAACACTAGTTAGCACAATATCCATGTGGCCGGAATGTAGTAGAAATAAAGCTACCCAAAAATAGACGGCCAAGTTCAAACTTGGAGTCCTCAAGTTTCCTTAGCTGCAACAACAATAGTCCTTTGAAAGGCTTGCAGGTTGGAATTGGTTGCCACAAAGTACTTTCACAGAAACTGCTTATAACCACAAGATTCATCTAGAAGAAATGATACCTGAATATTGTCATCCAGATGGAATGAATTATCATCTATAGTAGGGTCTAAGAAATTTCAAAAGCATGTTACATCCGGTGTTCAAAGGAAAAGGTGCAAACTCAGTAAGCAGGTTCCCATGTCATCAGAGGTGGAACCAGATATTAGTATACGACTAATTAGCGTGTAATTCACGGTTAAATTTTCTGAAGGTCTGGATAACTAGATGAACAAGCTAATTCAGCAGGAAAAATTTCCCATCCATAAGTTAGATAACTAGACCACCAAGCTGTCACTTCAAAAGATGCCAAACAAGTCTGCCCAAAAAAAATGAAAGGAAGGCAACTAGCCTAAATATTTCAAATGATCATTGGGAAACAAAAATGGGTAACGGTGTCCAATACTTTATTTTGGAAATCAACAAAAGACACCAACCAACTGAACCAGAAATGAGGCCTTTCCAAAAGACAAAATCAGACAGGCAAATGAAAGATATTTCGCATTTAACCAAAGAAGCTTGTTTCCAGCGACAAGCCAGCAGACTGCAGATTAGCAAGCAAACAAATATCACAATGAATGGTTCACATCTTTACTCACTTTCACCAGCAGAATGGAAAAATAAGGGGATGGCAACAAGAACATTACCAGTAAATGAGATTTATTATAAAGTCTGTTCATCTTTCAGTTTTGGCAACAGAAGAACTTAAATCAGCAACTGTAAGATTTGAACAAAGAATTATAACACAGTAAGATATTTCAGTTTACCTTGACAGGAAATGTTCCACAAGGAAGTTTAGTAGTCAAAAGCTCCCTGAGTCTCCTAATAGCTTTAACCTTGTTAGCCAATATGTCAAGCAATGGCAGGAGCTCATCCGTTTGCAAGGGGAAATCAGGCGTCAGCCACAATACAGGACGCAAACCCTTTTTGTACTCGCTTTCATTCTTAGACTCGCTACTCGGCCCTTTCTTCGTTTTCTTCTTGCCACTTTTATCCTTTCCCTTGCTTGTATCTCCTGTACCATCTTCCCAACCAGATTCAGATGATGAATTTTGGTGATCAACAGATTTCTGATTGCCACCATCCGGCCTCAACTTCGAATACTTTTTCCCCATTTTTGGATCTTCAGAGTCATCGTTGTTGTGTTTACCACCTTTATTCTTCCAGCCAAACCAACTCTTTTTCTCCTTAGTCGTACCATTTGATTCACCATTTTGATATGGTCCTACCGAACCATTTTCTTGGTACTCAACCACCCCACCAGCTTCCTCCTCCCGTAAACCATCAGAATTCCCCGCGCAAAGTGCAGAGTCTAACTGTTTTCTCTCTTCAGGTGTCAGTACATCATCAAAATTGTCCTGATCCCCTCCATTTGCCAATCTTTCTTCATCATCTACAGAGAAAAGTTCCTCGTCTGTCATAGCACCTGGAACTCGCCTCGACTTCACACTTACCATCACATTAAGCATATCATAAACCTTGGCCTTCCAATTCCCCACCATCTCAGTTCTTTCCTGACGTCTCCAATTCAAATGAGGAACTAGCTCCGCCTGTGTCACATCAATCCCCGGCCTATACATATTGGTTTCCGACATGAGAGCAACTTCATGGGCAACTTCTGCTTCAGTCGGTTGTGCACCTGCTCCTTCCAACGCATTAGTAATCTCTTTCTCCTTGTGTGCAAGAACAATCAGAGAACCTGGTAGTAAAGACGTTCCACCAGCATCCTCTGCAGAATAACCCTCTCCCAAGAAAAGAAAAGTCTGGTCTGATCTTTGAATCCGGAACCCATCAAACCCAGCAAGCGTCATGTCAGCTCGAAGATTAGCGCCCCGTTTCCAAATACGATAAGTATCTGATGGGGCGATACGGCCGATGAACGGAATGACAGAACTCTCGAAATGAAACGTAATCTCCATATAGAAGTCACGGATACGAGTTGCTGAAGCGACAATACGAGGGAGCCTACGGCACCATTTTGCCCAGGCGAGCGGCTGATAGTGACGAGCAATTATCATAGCAATTGCTTCCTCCCTTGTGCAGACTGCTTCTTGAAGGGCACTCCAGCCATTCTCATTCTGAAGACTCCAATCTGCACCTGCTGCCATTAGGATCTCTGCAGAGATTTGGTCCCTCAATTTAACAGCGAGATGTAGAGGAGTCTCACGACCAGGAACATCCCGGCGATCAATGATAGCTGAGAGAGCATCAGCTTCTCTTTCAGCAGCAACTGACTGTTCTTCATCAGTAACTTCACCAGCCTTGGCAAGTTGTGGGAGGTTAGAGATAATGCTTTGAAGGCCAGCATAATCACGGCGTGCGACTGCCAAGTGAGCAGGACTGTGAGAATACTTGGAGAAGTCTTCCATCATAAGAAACTATGTCCTTCAATTTCACTCTATATATCCCTCTAGCCTACAAATTCAGTTCCATGTCAGGGGATTCTTTACTCACTCTCGCAATGTATACCCTTCTGGAAAATTAGGGTTTATCTGAATCAGTATCCTCCTACAACCAACATGGAAACCCCTAAAATCCAATATGAAAACAAAAGGAATTCAGAATTGGAGTAAAACCCACTAAGGAAAGCACCAAAAACGTACAAGATTCAACTTTCTCAGCCTCCAAACACTACTTTTACTTCAGCCAACTAACCTTTATCCCCCACTGTCACTGATGCTCTCGTCAACCCACCAACAAAGCGCCAATCTGAGGAGAGAAGTGCAAACGTACTGAGCTCAAAGCACATCGGACCCTAGAAAAGAGATTTCACGTAATTCCCATCGATAATGAGAGAAAAATGTTAAGACAGGCGACCAATTAACCTGGGAACAGTCCTTGAGGAAAGTTGAGAAAATGCGGAGAAAAAAGAGGGAAAGAAAAGGAGAGGAATATGACGAAGACGGAAGTAAATCCAGAAGAAAGAAACAAGCATTTTTGACTGGTACGCGACTCGACCAATCAAGTAACTGCCATCTAACGAACTGAAACATTACAGCATTCGTTCAGGACGGTTTTAGAAAATTAAAGAAAAAAAAAAGGGGGAAGATAGAAACCATTTTCCGAGAAGCAATAATTCCACATCCCATTCGGAAGCACAAAAAATAAAAGAAAAGCAATTACCTGGTAAGGGGAAACGCCGATCAGCAGCTGCTGCTTCTTCTTCTTGGATGCTCTTGAAAAGGAGGGGCGAGGACGGGGAAGAGAGAAAGCGAAGCAGCGGAGCCTACGACGGAGTTAGGATCTGTTAATCTCTCTCTCTCTAAAACACGCGCTCTCTCTCTCTCTCTCTGTATATATATAATTTTGGTGCAGCAAAAGAAAGGCAGACAGACTGATTAGCCTGATGCTCGGCCTGTGCTGAAATTAATACGGACAGCGGCAACACCGAGTCATGGATGGCCGATGTGACCTAACTCGGGGGCTCTGACTCGCTCCTTCTCCCTTTAAAACTCAGATCATCCCTTCCTTCTTCACTCTCTCTCTTTCCTCTTTACGCTCGCTCCCTCTCTCTGCGTGTTTTTTTTTTTTTTCTTCACTTTCCTTTTAACAGTTATCGGCTTATCGCCATCGTTCATTTCATTTGCAATGCAAATTTTGCTTTTCTATTTTATTCATTTATTTTGCTGTTCCTCTCCCTTTTCTTTTTTAATTTATTTATATATTATTATGCTCCCCTTTTCTGTAGAAATTATTCTCGCTTTCTATTTGGCTATTTGCTTTCTGTTTTGCAATCCGTCTTGATTCTTGAGAGAGAGAGAGCAAGCGAGGCGACAGGTATCGAAGTGGGCACTGTTTTATTGTTCAGGAATTACTGTTGAAGGAGCGTCGTCTTAGTCTTGTTTGGGGATAATTCTATCTAGTTCAGACCAAAATGAGTTGCAAAGTAGTGAATTACCTTACATGGTTTTTTTCTAGCACTAGTGATACGTGAGTCTTCCGTTACACAAGTCTATCTATGGTTTACGTCAGGCCTCTCGGAATTGGTATAAGAAGTTCACTCGTTCTAATCTGGAGCTCGCTTTTGTTCCCAGTCGAACTGATCATGGTTTGTTTACTTACCGACGAGGTGATGTGTTTGTTGCAAGGATTGTGAAACTGTACCAGATATTATACCACCCTTTTATTTAGGGGTGAACAAACACACCCGCAAACCGACCCATCCGTCCTACCCGACCCAACCCAACCCACCCGTATTTATCGCTAAATCGAAGGTTTTGGGTTGGGTGAGTGATAGACCATTAATTACACATGTTTTTACCCCTATTCTTGAGCCGTTTGAGATGTCGATTCTCGCATTTTAGGCCGATTTCACGCTAGGTTGTTCTTGTTTGTGATATTGCAGGTCCTAGTACGTGAATGAAGGCTTGGGAACGAGTTCGGGGTCGATTGGACGAAGATTGGACATTTGGCGGGAAGCTGATGGAGCCACACGGGCACGCCTAAAACCTACACGACCGTGTGACCTGACCGTGTGACATCGAATTGCACGGGCAAAATCACACGGGCCGTGTAAGGGACCCCTTGTGGCCGTGTGGAAATTCCAGGGAACTCACACGGGCATCCTGGAAATCCACACGGTCGTGTGGGTCTGGCCGTGTAGGAAGCCTGAAGTCACTTAACGAAACGCCGCATTTTGCAAAGCCACAGGGGCAGATGGGAAAGTCACACGGCCGTGTGGCCTGGCCGTGTGAGTCGGGAATTTCTGGGTTTTAACCCAATTTCCAGCCAAAGGAGGGGGGTTCGGAGTTTTAGTGAGAAAAAGCGATACCTAGAGAGAAAGTGACGAACCTGACTCTGCAAGTGTCATAGATCGATCTCCATCACCATTGGAGCCTGACTTGAGCTTGGAGAAGACCTGATTGAGTGCCAGAAGCAGATTATCATCCTTCACAGTATGGTAGGGGTGGGCAACGGGAAACGGGTATTTGGGTATACCCGTACCCGTTCCGTTTTTTAAGGGTTACGGGTACCCATATTACCCGTAATATTATAAACGAATGGGAATTGGGATTGTACATTCCTAATATGGGTACCCGCGGGTTACCCGCAAATACCCGTTTGGGTAATGTGGGTACCCGTTTTACCCATTTACTACAAAGCAAAAATAGCCCACAACCCAGCGCCCCAGCCCAATTCACTAATTCAGAAATGTGGCATTGGGCCTTGGCCATTTCGGCCCTTACCCTTAGTCGACCCTCACCCTATTCCCTTTCGGCTTTCACTTTCAGTCTCAGAGACTCAGACACTCAACTATGAGAGTGCGAGACAGCATCCACCTAGCGCTTCTCACTCTGTTGTGCCGCCTCCAATATTTTAGTCCTTATAAATAAATTGTGATCTGTTCACTATGGATGGTATCATAGCAAATCGTCCACAACTTGTATCTTTCTCCCTTTGTCCCTTCCTCTGTGTTTGGGTTCATTGATTCCAGCTTCCGACCGCATTATTTGGTCAGCATTGTTGATAGACCGTTAGTTACACATGTTTTCACCCCTGTTCTTACACCGTTTGAGATGTGGTTTCTCGTGTTTTAGACCGATTTCACGCTAGGTTGTGCTTGTTTGTGATATTTCAGGTCCTGGCAAGTGAATGAAGGTTTAGGAGCGAGTTCGGGGTCGATTGGGTGAAGATCGGGCGCGAGACAAGTCACAAAGGAGGTCACACGGGCTGCCCTGATGTTCACACGGCCGTGTGAAGTAATGGCCTGGCCGTGCGAAGTAATGGCCTGGCCGTGCGAATTTTGCCGAGAGCACACACAGGCAGAGCAGAGGATCGACACGGCCGTGCAAGTGGCCGGGTTGGCCGTGCCACATTCTGCGAGAGCAAACACGGGCAAGAGGGGATGTCCACACGGCCGTGCCATTCTGGCCGTGCAAAGAGCCTGGAATTCGAACTAAATGAAACGATGCGTTTTGACTCACACGGGCAACTGGGTGAGCTTCACGGCCGTGCCACCCTGGCCGTGTGAGTCGGGATTTTCTCCTTTTAAGCAGAATTTCAGCCACAATTCGGGAGGATTCGAGTTTTGGAGAGAGAGAACGATTCCTAGAGAGAGAAAGTGACGAGCAAGAGTTCCCAAGTGCCCTAGATTGATCTTCAACACCATTGGAGGCCAGCTTGAGCTTGGAGAAGTGCCGATCAACGTCCAGAAGCAGGAATCCATCCTTCGCAGTATGAATTCCGTGTCTGATTCTGCTTTTGCTTTCTTCTCTATGGAGTAGTTCTCCCATTCATCTGGGTATGGAGAACCCTAGATTTGTATGTTAGGCTTTGATTGTATGAACCCAAGTACTGATTCTGTGATTGATTATATTCGATTGAGGTTTTGATGATTGAATGACTTGAATCCTGATCAAATTCCTGTTGTTTCTGCTTTAACCTAGAATGAGAATATCTGCCTAGGTTAATAGAGTATCCTTGATTGAAGGTAGGGAGTTGGTGACTTTAGTCGAGGAGCCAACTCACTATTCTGTACCGGATTTACTCCGGTAGTGGAGGTTTTGTTCTTAGGGCCTCAATCTGTCGACTCCAGTGGAGGTTAGTCGCCCGCTAGAGAGTCAGATTGAGAGGGTCTGAAGACCTTTAGTCGAGACTTCAGGCTGTTTAAGAACCTTCCGCAGTATAATCTTCATAGAAACTGAACTTGGTAATTACAATCCGGCTTAACTGCAGTCTAAGGGGAACCATATCCGGGTGACCTTTTTAACCTGAATACAACAGTTTACTTGCTTTGTTAGTTTGATAGTTTAGACTTGCATCCCAGTTTCATTGCTAGATAACACGAATTCACTGAGTAGTCATCATATCTAGGACCCGGGTTGATAATTAAACCCAAACCCGCTATACTACGCTTTAGGAAGTGGTTTCACTTGGCCAATTCCTGGAGTGACAGTAGAGTCGAGTCAAGTTTTTGGCGCCGTTGCCGGGGACGGCTAGGTTGTTGAAGAAAAGTGATTTCTGTTAATTTAGCTTTTCTTTTTGCTTTGTTTTCTTTGTCCCACTTGTGCCTTCACGGGTTTGTTGCTTGAGCGTGTGCAGGTAGTGCATGACCCGTAGCCAGTCGGGAGGTTTACTGCCGTTGAATCCAGAGATTGACCGCACCTGTCGCCAGCTCAAGAGACAACAGCGAGCTAGACTGGCTACGGAAGAGCGCATAGACGGCCACCTGAGCAGCGATTCTGAAGAAGAGCACGGGATGGACGGAGACTACAACCAACACCAGGGGAATCCACAGCAGGTTCCCCCGGTGAATCAGGTCCTGGGGAACAACCCCATACCCCAGGACCATGGAGTTCATCATCCACCACAGCCGGGTCCCACCTTGGAGTACTACTACACTCCTCGGATTGCTGACATCCGCCCGGTCATCCTCTACCCGCCGATCCCAGCAAACAACTTCGAGATCAAACCATGCTGGATTCAGCTCATCACATCTTCTATCCAGTTCCATGGCTTGAAGAATGAGGAGGCCAGGGTGCATCTTTCCCGTTTTCTGCAGCTGACGAACGGGTTCAATCTGAATGGTGTCCCCGATGATGCGATCCGCCTTCATCTCTTCCCCCATTCTCTGGCGGGGAATGCTAAGAGGTGGTTGGAGACCCAGCCCCCATTGTCCATCACCTCTTGGGACGATCTGGCTGACAAGTTCGTGCACAGGTACTATCCGGCATCGAAGACTACAGAGATTCAGCGGGAGATCACCCACTTCCGCCAGGAACCAGATGAGTCACTTCGTGATGCTTGGGAGCGGTATATGGGCTATTTCTGGCAGTGCCCCCATCATGGCTTCAGTGATGCATTCACAGTGGGGAACTTCTACAGTGCCCTTTCGCCAGATAGCCAGAGGGTGATTGAGTCTCTATGCCCAGGAGGGGATATTCTTACCAAGACTCCACCCGAGCTGAACCAGATGATCAGTACTTTGGCTGCCAGAGATCATTCTTGGGGACAGAGTAGCCGAGGCAGACAGTCCCGGGACCGTGGTGTGCACGCCATGGAGACTAGATCCGGGCTCGAGCAGCAGGTAGCTGAGCTAGTGCAGACATTGAAGCAGCCCAACAGTCTGATTCCGGGCAGAGGTTTGGCTACACCTCCAGTAGCTCAATGTCAGTGGTGTGAGAGCTCCAATCACCTAGTGGAGGACTGCCAGGCTATGAGGGAGTCTACCACACCCCAGGAGCAGTTGGCCTTCATCGCCAATGCGAGGCGCCTCGATCCATACAGCAGCACATATAATGAGGGGTGGCGCCAGCATCCCAACTTCGCCTGGAGCAGCAACACCACTAAACCACCTGGTTTCCCAGCACCAGCAGGTGGTTTTCAGCAGAGGCAGCCCTTCCAGGCTCGCCAGGGGCCAGACCCACAGCAGCAGCCCTACCAGCCTAGGCAGGGCCAGCCATTCCAGCAGCCCCAACGCCAGTTTGCCGAGCCAGCAGCAGCTCCAGCCCCAGATGACAGGATGACGAAGCTGGAAAACATTCTAGCTTCATTCATGACTAGCACCCAGGCTGCTATCACATCACTGGAGGCAGGTCAGCGGAACCAGGGTGCTATTTTGCAGGATCTGCAGACCCAGGTGGGCATCTTGGCCCGCCAGAACACCACCAGGGCACCAGGGACTTTGCCTGCCACCACTGTTCCTAATCCTCGAGATCCTCACCAGCATCAGTAGCTGGATGCCATTTTTACCAGGAGCGGTAAGACCATATCTGCTGATCCTGTCCCGGCCAGACAGGAGGAACCACTACCGGCTTCAGCACTTCCAGCCGACGATGCAGAAGTGCGGGTGGAGAAGGAAGCCCCTGCTCCCAAGCCACAACCAGCGGTTAAGGAGCATGTACCCCAGCTTCCCTTCCCCACTCGCCTACACAAGGACAAGCTGGAGACTGAGTTTGCCAAGTTCATGGCAATGTTGAAGCAGCTCAACATCAGCATACCGTTCATGGAGGCACTGTCGAAGATGCCCAAGTATGCCAAGTTCATGAAAGATCTCTGCACCAACAAGAAGAAACTTGGGGATCTCTCGACAGTGATGCTGAGCGAGGAGTGTTCTGCTATCCTGCAGAACAAGCTGCCCGAGAAGCGCAAGGATCCAGGCAGTTTTACTATCCCTCTTACTATTGGCAGCATGCATGTAGGCAAGTCCTTGGCGGACCTAGGTGCTAGCATAAATGTCATGCCATATAAGTTGTTTAAAAAGCTAGACCTAGGTGAACTTAGCCCTACTAGGATGAGCATTCAGCTGGCTGATCGTTCTATCGTGCATCCTAGGGGAATCATAGAGGATTTGCTTGTCAATGTCGGTGCATTCACATATCCTGTTGATTTCGTTATTCTTGATGTGCATGAGGATGTGGATGTGCCTTTGATTCTAGGTAGGCCATTTCTTGCCACCGCCAAGGCACTTATTGATGTGCATGATGGTAAATTGATCTTGCGTGCTGGGAATGAACAGGCTACTTTTTCTGTGACTGAGTTTGATCACTGTGCTATGATTGATGTCACGCCTGTGCATGTTATGTCTGATCAGATACACGAGCCTGTCGTGTACCCTTCTGCACCTCCTATTTTGCAGGACCCTCCTATCATTCCTTCGCCGCCACTCCATCCAGCCTCGCCTCCAAACAAAAAGCTCAAGGAGGAGTGGCGGCCGAAGCAGCAGGTTGCTAAGCCTGCACGGAAGAAGAGTGGAGACCACTATGAGCTGGTCCCACCTCCTGCACCACGACCACCCTGGCCGTCTGGGTACTCGCTCTCCTGCATCTTGCCAGATGGGCAGGTCGAGCTGACTGATGAGGGTGGTCGCATCCAACGGGTGCATGGCCACAACCTCAAGCTGTACCTCAAGAGCGACGTGGATCCGCTCTTGGAGGCACCTGTTCCTGCACCGCCCTGAGTATCCACCATGGGCGTCCAGCTAAACGACGGTAAAGAAGCGCTTGTGGGGAGGCAACCCCACCACGGTTTGATTTTCTTTCTTGTGTTTTGAGTCGGATTGTAACCCGGTTTGGGTTTGGTTTGTTTTTCTTTTGGTTTCGATGATGTTTTTATTGGGATGACCATTGGACCTAACATACTGTGTTGAGCTCTTCTGTTCCCCTTTGGCTGTGCTTGCCCCGACTGGCCCGTTTCCAGTCCCCTGCAGTCAGTGCCTACCGGTAACATCGTTCCCCTTATCCTTCCCTCTTCTCCATTGAGGGCAATGTCGATCTTAAGTGTGGGGGGATGTTTATCTTTTGACTGCATTAGATCTGTTTGTGTGCTTGGAGCCTAGTCCACTGTCCAAATTTTTAAATTTGAGGGCTCCAAGTACGTGTTTCCTTGCAATTTCCTGCTCAGTATGCTTTGAATTGACAGTCTTTATAGTAATATGCAACCTAGGGAGGTAGTGTAGCACTATGGAGGATGTTGATGCATTTAAGAAGTCTCATTTCTTCTTCATATTGTGTTGGTTGATTGAGTGAATTAGTGATCTTAGGACCCTTGAATGGTGTGGTGTTGTGGATTCTCTACCTGTCATGGACTCTTGTATCATGTTTTGAAAATAACAGGTGCTCGAAAATGTGCTGAAAAATAACGTCTCCCGTGCGAATAGGGCGAAAGTGTGTAAGGGGAGACGGGAATTCGTTCCCAATTTCCACCTACTACCTCCAGCCCCCTTACATGTCTTTCCCCCGCACGAGGCTCGAGACATCCGCTCCTGGCATGGCCGGTAAGAGCAGGTTGGGACCCTTGAAAAGAAAAGAAAAGAAAAAAATAACAGAAAACAAGCAAAACAGAAAGAAACGGGGTTCCAACCATCTTCAAAGAAAATAGAGCACCTTGAAAAATGTGAGTCCATGATCCTTTGTTTTTGAGAATCTCTTCATCCACGATTCATTTGTCCTCTGTTCACTATTTGCCATGATGCCGACTCGCCGAAGAAGTTATGAGATGACTTGTGCGTCGGTTGACCTCGTAAGTTGCTAAATGATCTAGGAAGTCCTCTACCTACGATCTGGGTTGTTTGTTGCTATAGAGGTCTGGAGAGTTGCATTGGTTTGAGTTAGGTTTGCTTGGGGACAAGCAAACGGTTAAGTGTGGGGGAGTTTGATAGACCGTTAGTTACACATGTTTTCACCCCTGTTCTTACACCGTTTGAGATGTGGTTTCTCGTGTTTTAGACCGATTTCACGCTAGGTTGTGCTTGTTTGTGATATTTCAGGTCCTGGCAAGTGAATGAAGGTTTAGGAGCGAGTTCGGGGTCGATTGGGTGAAGATCGGGCGCGAGACAAGTCACAAAGGAGGTCACACGGGCTGCCCTGATGTTCACACGGCCGTGTGAAGTAATGGCCTGGCCGTGCGAGTTTTGCCGAGAGCACACACGGGCAGAGCAGAGGATCGACACGGCCGTGCAAGTGGCCGGGTTGGCCGTGCCACATTCTGCGAGAGCAAACACGGGCAAGAGGGGATGTCCACACGGCCGTGCCATTCTGGCCGTGCAAAGAGCCTGGAATTCGAACTAAATGAAACGATGCGTTTTGACTCACACGAGCAACTGGGTGAGCTTCACGGCC